ATATAAGGGGCGACGAATTCTCGAATTCATCACTTTTTACCACAATGCATTGCATTTAACCACACTTTTTACCACAATGCATTGCATTTAACCAGAGTGCATTGCGCCACGAACAACTCAAATAAAAACACGGAGAAGTTCGGTGGGTGAGAGAGTGCATCGTTCGCTGCTCAGACTTAGAGTTTTCTTTGTGGCAAACTTTCTACAGCACGGTTAGAGGTCTTACCAAATTTTAAGACACGCAGGAGTCTTTCAGATGAGTACGATGGTTAACTTGGGGATTGGATTTCAAGGCAAGAGCCTTTTTGACTCAAGAGCCTTTTTTGCTCTTCGACTCCGCAACACGGGGGATATACAAATTCCAGCTTGCTAAAAGGTGATGTGAAAGTAAGAAAATGTCATGCAATGCTATTCTTAAGAAACTGTATGAGCCGAAAATGGATGTGATTTTGACCATTCGCTTCAAAATAACAGCGGAAATCGAGATAACAAAACATATGTTTTCTGTCCTACGTTGCAGACGAGGACGTGTTGTTGTGTTGTTGTTTTCTATAAATATATAGCTAAATAACTGTTACTTAATAAAGTGCAATAAACAGCAAGAAAAGTATCATGTTTCCAGAGAAAAGATAGTACACCCTTTATTAAATATATGGATAAACAATCTGAATTTCCATCATTTCCTACAATTTACTGTGGGAAAACCAGAGTTGATAACCACTTGATCATTTTTTAAACAACGTTCCCACGAGTTCTTTATATAGACTGATAGTAATTATTCTAGTACTTTCCAACATGTAAATAGGACATTCAATGTCATTTTCGATTCTTTTAAGTCCCACTGCCTAACTTATGCCAGTATCAATAGAATGTGCCGCAGCATTACTATCTTTTAGATATCCTAGTTTTATAAGTAATATACGTTACTGTTGGTTTAGTTCCGTCATCTGATGACTGACGCTTCTGTCAGGTCGCAGTTCTGCTGAGCTCGATGCATCTCGCATGTACTCGCAGCCACGTGCAATTTTTGGTGAAGAAAATCTAAGCTTGTTCTCTTTTCAAAAATTTTTCGGGCAAATCGTCGTTATAAGGGTGAAGGAACTTAGCAATACAAATTTGTTAGCGTCAAGGCATATAAAAAAGGAGAAGGCCTCACTTCGGTTGGCGTGCGTCGCTCATAAGCCTAGCGGCTTAGGGACGGACCATTAGAAAACTTATGGGGGTGCGGGGGTTGGGGGGGGGGCGAAGTACAAAAAAAAATATTCGCGCAAAAGAAAATTAAATGAAAGAAAATTCTTGCACGCCAATTAATCCTAAAAAATATTCATACTATGGCCTAAAAAAAATTCATACAAGGAATTCGATAAAGAAAAAAAGATTCCTGCGGCTTGAAAATTCCCTCCCCCCCATAACCTTTCTAATGGTCCGTCCCTTATTGTTTTCCATCTGACCTAGGAACGGTCCCAAGGGTCTTTGTGAAAGTTAACTGGGCCCAGGGAATGGGAAAACCTTCCATATATCTACGCTGCCATTCACTTCAGACTGCTCTTTTTTGAATGACCCACAAAGATAAATTTCAAAAGTATATTAAAAGTTAACAGGGAAGCCCTCCCCCAAAAAGAAGACTAAAACTAACACGAGTGTTCAATGTCTTGCTCTAATACTGGGAGTTCCATGGTCCGTCTCACAGTATGAATTTGAATGTGTTCATATCTTCATCGTAATTCATCTGACTCGGTCAGAATTCCCAGAGACACAATGAGTTTGCTTTTGTTTGGTCTCAATCCACTCAATCAAAATCAATCAAGATCTTACTTGAGTTAAGCATTTCGCACCTCGGCTAAGGATATCCGATCCTACTAGCCTTTCACTCCGAATTTTTTACTTTAAGCTATAGACCAGTCAAAGAAATAACAACCATTGAACAACTTTTATTGACTTATCCACCGAATCTTTAGCAATACCTTCCTTCAGTCTTGTGAGCCATTTTTTTTTTCTTTTTGGGATGCCTAAAACGTTAGAAATTCTAGGGTAAAAATAAGACGTGCTACGAAAATACATTTAAATGTTTTGTGGTACCAAATTTGAGAGAGTAGAGTAGTTTACTGGTCAAGTCTTGCAACAAATATGTTACAAGAAGCTTAGCGTTTTATTTTATTAAAAGATTTTGGGTACTGTATCCTTACCGCGCGCCTTGTCGTTTTTTCTTAACTTGCTTCCGGATGTTTGTTCTCTCTTTGTAGTTCTTGAAATTTTGACATTTGCCTTGAAGGTCGCGAGCGCTAAGCTGAACAAAGAGTGCCCAAGATAAGTGGACTGAAAAGATAAGATTAATGTTCTTAATGCAGTGCAAACCTCAAGCACCACGCCTCCACTCCTCCCATTAATAAGATAAGTAAACCACAAGCGCGTCATACATGATGCAAAAACGTTAACAGGAATGCGACGAACTTTATTCACACTGTGGTTTGCCTTGCCACTCCCATATACAAAACTTTTTTCTTGTAAATAGCTTTAAATGCTCGATATATATAAACTAGTCCAAGAGTATGCAAAAATGTGAAAATAGATAAAGTTATATACAGACTGGCACCCCGGACTGGCACCCTGTGAAATTGACATTATTCAGGCGAGCACGAAAGTGTGCTAAAGTGCTCGAGGATTTGGTGACAGTTGGTAGTTGATTCCATATGTGGGCAACCATGTATAAATAGGAGTTGTGTATGACAAGGCTGTTATATGGAGGCTGCACAACATTTAAGCCATTGTCTCGTAGATTGTATTTTGTTAGCCGAGGTGTAAAAAATTGGGAAATATAATTTGGGCCATCTAGTTTAAAACATTTAAAAAATAGAATAAGCGATTGCAGGGTACGTCTTTGTTCAAGCTTGTCCATATCAGCCATTGCTAGGCAAAAGTCATAGGTAGCCGAATTACCTAAATTCAGTTATGTCTTGATCGCATAATGATTGGTACGTTCGATGTTATTTTTCAAGACTTTAGATATGCCCAGAAGTAGTGGGCAACAGTATTCTAAATGTGGTGACACGTAGGCTTTATAAAGGGAAATCATAACGTAACAAATTTTGAAGAGGGGTAATCATTCGGATAGAAAATTTGCTCATTACTGGTTTAATACGCATGATCACTTGGTATCCGCGAATCTACCTTAACTTCTTAGAATTAACTGTCTATCTGAACGAGGTTCTCCCTCATTGAGGGCGAGTGAGAAAAGGTTTGACAGTTCTCCTTGGATGATGTTTATTACGCTGTACAGTGGATGTGGCTTTAACTTTCCAATCTGTAGCCGACAAAAATAGTTTGCTAAGTGCAAGCATTCAAATGCATGCTGTGAAAAATCCCAAAGATAGTTCTAACTTCTATTCCCTCTTGCGTCAGTGAAGAATGATTTGGATAAAATTCATGTGCGATTACGTAGTACAGATAAAATAGACTGAGTAAGAGCATTTTGAAAAAATATTATTTCTGTTCGAGGTGGTTCCAGCTTAACGAAATCCTGAAGTGAACTATAGGTAAAGCAGTGGGCTTTCCTATACATTCAGCTTTCGAGTCTGTAAAGTGTAGATGAACCGATGCAAAGGCCGTTCCTTGTTATCAGCGTCTTGTGGTTCTGTTTGCTTTCTGTACTCTCACAGCATCAACATAAATATCTACAAAAACAGTTGACGAAATTTCACGCATAGAATGCAGTGTATAGCGATAACGCGACCGAACGACCACATACACTAGATTATGACTATATATGGATGTGGCAAATGTAGCCTTGGTTTGCAGAGGTTATCGTTCACCGAAAAAAAATACACGGTACAAAGAGACGTAGGCTTCACAGCAAATATAATTACGCCCTAGCGAGCATCGCCGCTACGTCGCAAGAGAAAGTAATGTTTTCTTGCGAGGTGTAACATAGTGAACTGATTACGCAGAGAAGTCCATTTTAATCTTCCTTGTCAAGTTGACACCCTTATAAGTAAAACATTAGAAAGCGACCTATAAAGCGTCGGTACTTACAGAAATAACAGACTGCCGTTAAATAATACCGCAAGTCCATTAAAAAACGTCTTTAGAGCAAGTAATAAAAAATTCCCTGCTTCGGTCGCCTTAGGGGAGAATTTGATTTCATTTCATGAACTTATCTGTATCTAAAAGTTACTCCGAATGCTTAAAGATTTTGTTATTTCCAAGTTAAAACAATATTATCACTACAAGCTACGTAGTTTTTGAAAGAATTGGCTGTTTAAAAAGATTCTTATGCCTTATTAACGGTACTAAGAGGTAACAGTATATTTGTCGTTCTGGGATGTTCTGGTTGTTCTGAGACAATGATTAATTTGTTTAAAACAAATCCAATGAACTCTGTCACTAAATGAATCCTTAAATCTATAACCGGGCAGTTTTAAGGAAGGCTGTTATTAATAGCAATCTTTTCCGCCGAAAACGCTGGGAGAATTGTATTGGGACAACTGACAAAAACTTCTGTTCATCTCGTTCTCAGTTGATTGTGACTCATATAGGAACAAATGGCTGTTTCATTTTCGCAAATAAGTGTTTAATGAATAAGGACGTTTACGTTGTTTCTCTCTCAGCTGGATACGCGACACAAAGTCTTGTTCCCAATATGGAATGTATTGTGACTCGCATGACTACTCAAACTGCCTGATCTAAATGGGACTTAATTTTGAAAGTTTCTTTCTGGTATCCCGTTGTTCTTTTCTTTTTACACAATTATCTTACTGAGAACGCGTTTGTAAACGGCGGTGCGTTGGAGAGATTTTGCTAGATGCTTGTCATAACTGGTATAAATCCAAAGGGTGTTTCAATTCTCTTGAAGTTCCTGTCCTAACCAGCCCAACAACTCCATATCTGAAAAGCTGAGTCAACTTCTTCTACGCCCCATTCCCAGCGAAACACATTCAAGCTAAAAAGGAGCTACTGGCATTTGACTTATCGGAACAAATAGGCAAGGAAGGAGCGGCTTGAGAATGAAAGTTATCAAAGGGAAAATGTCTTTTAGGGGACAAATGAAGAAAAGAAAATTTTCATGCCCAGATGAAGTCTTTTCCAGCTCGGAGGACACTACTCCGAAGGCGGAAACCGAACCCAGAACTAGAAAAGTCTCGGCAGGCGAAGAGCTGACACAAGCCATAGTGAAAAGTCGGCGAAATCAGGTGGAAGCGGAGACTGTTAGAAGAAGATATCAAACCATGCCGATTTTTTCGACAGCAGAAGAAGGCCTAAGACCACCGAGAGCGGTTTCATTCTGTCCGGAAATTTTACTTCTTTCGGCTGTGATGGAAAACAACACTGAGGAACTGATTAAGATACTGCGAGAAGGAAATGTGAACGTAAATCAAGCAAACTCGATCGGAAGGCTACCAATTCACGAAGCAGCTTCGGAGGGTTTTGTCGAATGCACGCAGATTTTGATCGAAAATGGCGCGAATTTAACTCTGGAGTGCTCCGAAGGTTTGACGCCGCTAGAAGCCGCTGTTATTAGCGGGAACTTTGAATGTGCGGAACTTTTAATCAGAAGTGGAGCACCGATTGACAAAATCAAAGACGGATTCGTTGATCCAGTTCTTAAAGAAAAGATCCAGGCGGAAGAATGTAACAGAGATGAAAAGTAAGAAATTAAGAAAAATTACGCCGATGACAATGCTAAAATTCGCGGATTTGTCATAGCAAGAGAGGAAGACAGTAGAATATCAGAAAACGCTTACGGGTGTATTAACAATTATTTTTTCACTTCCAAGATTGTTAAAAAATAATTAATTCAGACTGAAAGCCATGTTTAAGGTGTGAAAAATGATGATAGCAAGAAAGGTCCGCGATAACACTTTACATTAGGTATAGAGTCCATATATTAAAATGGTCCCACTACGTGTCAGCCATTCCACTAAAATGGTTCATTATGTTGTTTACGTATAGAGCACCAAAACAGCGCCACGGGAAGTAGGAACATTTTGAAGTACAGAGGCGACTCATGCAAAACAAATGATAAGATCTATTTCGGCATGCTTGCAGATTTTGGCAAACTCTGACGACTGAAGACGTTTCAAAAGTTAGGATTAGCGAAAGAGGCGGCTCATTCAATGAATTCCGTACACGTCCAAAAACTTACAATCATGACAAATTCTATACAAGATTAATTTTCACTGAACGTAACTCCGAAAGGGAAAGGAATAGATTGTCACAAGTAAGAATTAAGTGAGTGGAGGGAGAATAAAGGATTTAACTTTTTAGTCCGTCAGCTTTTGAGAGCAAAGAAAAAATAACCATGTTACTTTTTGTGGGTGTAATTCAGTTGCCAAGAGCTACTGAATTATATATAATTCTTTTCTCATAATGGCACATTCCCCATAAGTAAAACCCCGCGACTAAGAACCTGGATTTTAAGAACCTGTTAGGCTAAAATTTGCCAGCTAAGCCCCCTCTATTTAAGAACCTGTTTAGCCTAAATTTTGAAACAGGTTCTTATTTTCTAAAATCTATGAAAAACTTCTGCATACTTAGGCAAATATAAGATATGTCAACTGAACCACCAAATACTCTTACTGAGCTATATTGTGTTTCTTTTTTTTGAAAACTGAGAACCTATTTAAGAACCTACATGGCCTAAACGTGTGCTAACTACCGTTTATTATAAGAACCTGTTTAGGCTAACTTGGAAAAATCCAGGTTCTTTGTCGCGGGGTTTTACTGTCAGTACCTAAGAGGCATTAGAGAAGCGATGGTTTCTGTTGATTTTCGCCGAGTCGTATTTAAGTAGAGAAGCTAAAACTGGCTGTTTAATCCTGCAAGAATACTCAACGATGCCATTATTGACTTTGTTGCTAATCGGATGGACATGAATGTGCTACAGATAAAATGCCAGTGAAAAGCTTAAAACAAGAAAGGTTCTCTTGGTTTAGATGCGGTAACTGTCACTTAGATGCTCCAGTCGTCTTTGTTTCGCTGTTTGGAAATAACTTGATATTCGAGTTTGAGACGCTTTCTAATGGCATTTTTGCAGACGTTTGTTTAAGTTGCTTCAAGATAACACAAAAAAGGGTAGATACGACACGGTAATAAATAATTGATTACGTAATGAGCAATTTTTTTATTTTTTCCCCTTTCATGGCAAAGCCAGGCTTGACGATTTTCTATTTTAGATCATGGCACTTGGAACAAATTCAAAACAAATGTCCCAGAATAAAAGGGGACTTTTTAATTTGAATGGCCATACTTAAGCCTTTCCTGGCTTAGACTCAAAAGTAAAAACTTACTCAGTGAATGTGAAGTTTTAATCTTTATACATTGCCCTTTTACTTGAAAATAAAAGTGGATATACATGAGAAGATTTCAAGGCTGTTCATATATTCCATCTTCTACAAAAATTCAACCTTGGGGGCTTTCACTTAGCCCATTAGCAGTTGTTGACTGTTATGCCGCCTATTGAGTTTGTGTATATTCTGCAAACAATTACCTTAATGCCTTGCAACTTCTTTCATTTTCTGTCTGTCTAGGGGATCCATAATACCTCAAAATTGAAAGATATACTTTTTAAAGTCTAATTATAGATTTCAAAAAATCTAAAAATTTACTTTAGCCTCAGGCTCTAAAGATAGCCACCTGTAAAGAGATGTACTCGGGTTCGCTCAGTAATATACTCCTCATGTCTGTGTAATGCTTGAAAAAATAAAAGTAAGCATTTTAACGAAGAGTTACTAGTGATTCTACACATTCCTCCACGTGCGACCACCTCTTGAAACTGACTTCTTCTCACAAGTTACTAACCATGATCAACCATCTATTCACCAAACTTTTCCCAGTCAAAGCTCTATTTGGCAGGAACCTTTTGCAAGCGACGACAGCGACCACTTTTTGGAGGCGAAGGGTGACGGATTTATGGGGGACCCCATAACACGTGACCTAATCTCGATGTTCGGTGTATGTACTACGTACGTAACACAGACAGGCTCTAGCGACAGAATGGAGCTACTCTTACTTTGACTTAAAGTTGCATGCAGTCACGGGTGTAGTAAATTCTCTTTGAATAGAAGTCCCATTTTAGACTTGTTAAAGAGACGCAGAGTGGTTCGACTCTCGAAAAGGATCACCTCCCGTAAGCGACCATTAGACGTGTTGGATGGGTGGTCGCTTATCCTTCCTAGTATAATAAATATATGCTCACTCAGGTTAGTTTACTGTAGGTAAAGTACAGTCACCTAACAATTAAAATAATAGGACGTTCCAAAGCGAATTTCGGCTTCCACCTCGGTTAGTAATTAATTATGGAAAGCAACACAGTTACCCATCCCACCCATAAACATTAGCTTTCACCTCATTTGTTAGTTGTATCGACTAGACAATTCTTGCTGTGGAGAGAAAAATTTCGTCAATTCGCTGAAAAAAAAAAAATTAAGTCTGTGATTTCAAGTGCCGCCAGATTGCTAAGATCGATTGGATGCACGGAGCTAAATATGTATATATTTACTGCTACCTCAGTTAGCAAGCCACTGTTCAATGATAGATGCTATGTCTTTTTTACTCATCATTGACCAAAACGATCCCAACGTTTCTCTCTTTTCTACTCAATTCTCACCGCAATTGCGGTCCAAGGAGTCCATTGTTAAAATTAGGTATAGTATAATTTCTTTATTTATATTTAAAAAATACCTGCTACACGGTTTGCTGCTTGTTTATTGATTGCTACTTCTAATTAACTCTGTTAATTTAGCCGAGTCTAGCCTGCGTGGCAGAGGAAGCGAACTTGTTCGCAAGAGTGCCTGCCTTTCGCGCTTCTCGTGCTCCTGGAAACCCCTTCCCCTTCCTTTTCAAACACCCACCACGCAGCCGAGTCCATTTCGGGATGACTTATTGAAAGCAGAACAACTTACTGTAGCTTAAATAGGATAACGGCGCTTCTCTTTTAACCAGAAACAATGGATAAGATAAGATGAGGATTTTTCAGGTACAGTTAAAAAACATTTGTTTATAATGCCTTTAAGAAAAAGCTGCAATGGGCATTCCGCGGGTCTTTCTCATACATCTCTATACAAGTAAGTCCGCATTTCACTTCAAGAGCCTTCAACAGTTTCTCAGTTCAGTTTTATCGTATTACAGGAAACTTTCAAAGGATACGTTAGTTGCCTAGGATTTGTTTTAAATTTCCTTGCTTAGGTCGCAGCTTGCGTTCTGATAAAAATTGCCACTCCTGATAAAACATATATATTACCACAACGCTTTAATTTTCGGAGTGAAAATTCATAAAGGAATTCTATTTGGAGTTTGGTACTTACCGTGCAATTGGAAAATATTGCTAAAAACCCTTCATTCTCAATTCTCTTAGGATAGCACTGATCAGTTGATAGCCACTCTCCGGCGAAGTGAAAAGATTATTGCCAACAAGGCAACCGAGCTAAGAAGAGAGGTCTTCCTCGGTGGCTGATGGAATCCCGCGCAATGTGAAAAAACTCTCAAATTCTGCGTAACACTCTAAAATTTGCATTTTTGACCATATTTGAGTATAAGTAAGACCCCATATTTGGGCAGTGATGTCATGATCTTGTATTTACACTCGTGGTTCGAAATTGGGTGATGCCGCGTGTGCAGCTGTTTGTTTTCTGTTTGAGAGGCCCTAACAGGTGAGCAAGCTTTAATACGATTTCTAGATTTGAAGGGGCTATTAGTGCTTTGGTTTGCTTTATAAATTAGTGCGTTTAAAGCAGCAGCTCATCAAGGAATCGGGTTTTACGCTCCAATTTTTGTCACAACCAGCTTGTTCTTGGCAGCTCGATTTACATTGAGGTAGAGTGTTCGCTTCTCGACTCAGAACCAGGGTTTTCAGTGTTCTTTATTCCTTAGTTTGTAAATTGAATTTTTTGCGGTAGGTAATCAAGGAATAGGGTTGATATTTAAAACGTTTATCAGAACCAGCGTGTTCTTCGCAGTTCAATTTACATTGAGCCGGCCCTCACCTCTCGTGAGGAATGCAAAGCATTTGAGGACCTTTTGTTTTTTAGAAGTTATTTTTACCTTTGGAGAGATTTTTGTCAACCAGCGTGTCCTTTTGCAGCTCCATTTACATTGAAGACAGCCCTAAACTCCCATGAGGAATGCATCCAATTTGCGGACCTTTTGTTTTAAAGACCATCATTATGAATTGTTTTGCCTTTCGAGAGACTCTTTGTCCTGAGCCACTCGCTCATTAGATCTTATTTTATTCAAGTTTATATCTTTATACCTTTGATACATCCCGCCCTATTCTTGCGCTTTTCACACATTTTGCTTACACCAATTTTAACCATGCGGAATAGTTTTCTTTTCTCTGATGATGCCGTTGATCAGAGAAAGCTCGGAATTTAATTTTAATTTTTAATTTTAGCAGCCAAAATCTTCACTTGATCTATGTTTTACTTCCTAACGTTTTTAGTTTTGAATTTCCATAAAATATAAGTGCTAACTTGCTCCAATTTACCAACAAAGTTTCAAGCAATTTGTTGTCATTTTTTAATAGAATTGAAAGAACCTAAACACGCTAAAGAGCACATCAAGAAGGATTCTAATAGGTATTTTGTCCAGACATTCTAAAAATTCTGAACTTAAGCCAAATTTAAGCTCTAAACTTTTTAGAGTGTGGAGTTCTCTGATCAATGCGATAAAACCATGATAAACACGTCAAAAATCCACGATTGCAATCGTAATTCGTCACCAATGATATTAAAAGGTAATCAAATGGTGTACTCGTGAAATTATTCTATAATTTCACTTGCTTTTTGTCCTAATTCTAATAATTTTCATACTTTAACTGCCGTCTTCGAATATGAAAAGCAGAAGAAGGGTAAGCAAAGTTCCTTGTAAAAGTGAGGCTAACGGGGGCACATAAGGATGCTTCTCTGCGGACCGGGTCTTTTGACTCTTTCCGATTACTCCTTCAAGTTTGTGATTTAAAAACATGACCAGAAGCCCTAGCCTCGTTCCCATTCGTCCTCGGCCAGTGCAGATGTGACGTCATCAGTCAAGTATTTTTAGTATCTCTCGTGCTAACCTGCGTCTCGTGCTCAATGAGAAAACTCCGCAATATGCAAGACATGACTTCGTACGCCGCACTGGAACACATCCACTGCTAGACAAACATGCCTTGCTTGTTTATCACACTTACGACCAGACCCGAACAATATATAGTGAACATCAGACTCTTCCAGGCTGACCTGGCCATTATAACATGTCTTTAGACTCCGGTTCGTTTGTACTCCTTCAACCACCGTACCATTCGCATCTCGCTGGTCTTTAGAAGCGCTGGTTTACCAGCGATATTTCGGCGTATTTTTTCTAGGGTTTGTTTTTGCGCTCTTACAGCGAGTTCACCGGTAGAAAAAGACTTGAAAGTACTCTTAACCTACCAAAAATAAATCAGCGCGCTTTGATGAATATCTACTTGCTTTCATAATTTTTAAGCATTTTGCACTCAGCTAGTACTAAAATGAATCAAATAAAAAAACGGTCTATATAAGGGTAACATAATTACTGGTAAACAGTAGTTTCCATTGTGACACACAATAGTTGGCTATTTACAAGCGTGACAGAGGAGTTAAACTCTGGTTAGACCTTCTGTAGGTACCGAGGCACAAATTCATCAGGGGCACCCAACGTCAATTTTCGGAAAGTATCTGTTCGGAAGACGATTTGAGATCTACAATTTTCGGAACACTTGTTGTAAAATTTCTTGATTGCCAGCCTCTCCTAGGATTTTTGAACATCTAAAAAATGGTGTAATTGCCCATTTTTAACGGATTTTTACCCTAAAAAGGTCACCTAGAATTTTCGGGAGCCTTTTTTCGGGCTGAAATTTTCGAAAAGGTAAGTTTTGATCCCTATAATTATCGGATCACTAGACTTTCAGCTAGGAAATCCGAATAGATGAAGAATTTTTAGGGGATAAAAATATTCCTATATCTATCGTTTAAATACTAAAATACGTTTAACAATGCTATGTTTAGTGGTTTTGATCTATATTCTCGTTGGGTGCCCCTGATTAATTACAACAAAAGAAACAATACAACCACTACAACCCAGTTGGCTCCTTTGTTTCCTTTGTGATGACGGTACCTGCAGAAAGACCCTAAACTTAGGGCTACCGAGAACAAATCCGGCTAGCAGCTCAAACCGTAGACTGCAAAACAGTCCGTATTTTTGCGTATTCAAATACGCGTGAGCAGTCAAACAAAAGGTCTGGAACGAGGCTGAAAACAAAGAGCGAGACTGGGGAGAGACGTTAAACGCGCCTAACATAAACGCCTAACAACACGTCCTATGGGCGTGTGAGGCTCGCGCGCTTCGCGCGCGTAAGACTCTTGCGCCACGCTTTACCGATTTCTTTACTGATTTTGAGAAAAAAACCGACTGTTTTGTAGTCTACTCAAACGGGAATTATACTCGGGGCCTCCAGATTACAATTTCAGCGCTCTGCTCAACCATACTCCTTTGCTGAATCAAAAATAGGTTACCATTATAAAGAAATTGTTTGTAAAGTTGCACTTGTGACTTCTTCTGTAATGTATGGTGGCTCAGAGCCTTACACGAAAATCAAAAGTATATAAAATGTACTTGCCATATTGAGCTGGTGTGAGTTTTGAAAGCTTCCTGCCACTACTTTGACGAGGTTTCCAAGCTTATAGCTTCCACCATATCTAATATGACAAACAAAAACTGTTCTCATATAGCTCAAATAACCCACCTTTTAGAATGGTAATTTACCCATTAGTTGTTTAAAGTGAACACTCGTGTTTTACCAGGTGCTGTTTTACTTGTGATAGATCCAAAGTACAAATCGAGTAACTGTACCCTTGTGAACAATTAAAACAAATAAACGGGGGGCAATGCAATAAAACTTTTACCGATATTACTATTGTTTTGGGCTATTTATACAGGATAGCTTTCGCGTCGGCATGAAAACCATACCCGGAATAGGGCTTCTGTTCACACATAAGAACGGTGATTTCGACTTGATTTCTGTAACGGAGCGAAGCTGCGCAGCGCCGGTTTCGAAAGTGGAGCGTTACATATCGGAGAGGCGCTGCGTCACACTTTAGAGCGGTGTGAACAGGTGTTCAGACCGTAGCGGAAGTGAATAGCTAGGAGCGTGGTCTGGAATCCACTGAGACGGAAGTAAATATTCAGGAGTGAGGACCGGGATTTAGTTCACTAAACCCTCTCGGCCATGCAATCGCTCCGGCATGATGTTCGATGTGCGTGACCGACTTGTTACGGAACTACGCCGTTGCACGTAAAGCTATTGGGTATAGTTGGAAGGCAGTCTTGGAGATTATAGCATTAGCTACACTTGTAAGTTAGCTTTATTGGTCAATGCGGTTTCTTCTTCAAGGAATAAAGGCACTCGTCGGAAGTATTATTGCAAATGAATACAATCTCACCTTCTTGCAAGTATTTTCCAATGTTTCACAATAAAATTCCACACTGCTTCTGTCTTTCCCTGACCAAGCTTAACCTGCTCAATCCAGTAAAGGCTGTCTTGGGGTCGCACTTTGCTTTCATCTAAACTGAAAAGCAGATTCCTATAGAGGAGAAAAGAGTTCCCACATACAATTTCCCGCCTTCCGTATTTGAGAGATAAAATTCTTTTAACCTACGAAGAACTATTGTAATACGTTAGTTTGACAAACCAATGGCTAGTCGACTAAGCCAAAAGTAAGAATAAAACGGTCAAATTATTCAATACATGTACTCTGTTAAAATATCTTTTATTGATGGGTGCATATTATCCATAGAACTAAAACCTATTCTTGTTTCAGACAGGCTTTGGAGGGAATTTCGAACCTAAAATAAATTTAAATCCTTCCAAGCTTTCACAGTGATTCCTTTATCTCAGGTCATATAAGCTGGTTCTCTATTTTAATCGCTCCTCGGCTCGGCCATCGCCAAGACATGTGTCTTTCTCATTTTTTCCCTCTATAAAATATTTGCTAACATTACCTTGCTGTTATACAGTTAGAGCCGAATGACGTAATAACGTTCATCAAGTACTTCCTGTCAGCATCAAAAGGAGACTTTTGGTAAACCGACCAAAGGTAGTCCCAGTCTTCCTCGCTTGATTTATTGACACCGAATGAGAAAGCCAAATACCGGAAGTTGGCACCGACACTCTTTACACTGGAAAGAGGAAGTAAATATCACAGCCCTTTCACGGAAATGGACAGATGAAAAAGTGTAAAACAATACTGAGACCTGTTGTTGTTTCTACTTGGCTACCTTCCGTTATTACTGCCAACAACAGAGGCTATCTTATATTTTCCCACCAGCATCCCCACCATGGCAACAATTTCTAATCTACTCTTGATCCTTGGCGGGGGGAGGGGTGGGGGATCGGGGTCGGGGGGAAAGAGCACTTTCTATAATGGCCTATAAGTGGAGGCTCCGGCTGAAAGGGCCCCCTTTTCAGGCTTTAGGGTTATCATAGGGTAAGAAATTCATTAGTAGAAGTATTTGAAAGGGTAGGGAAATCTTTTAGTTTAGGTATTTAAAAGGGCCTCTAATTAGAAATTTTTTCGTAAAGATACGCCATATCTGTTTAATTTATTAAACGTTACACGAAAGTGAGAAGTAGAATTCCTGCTTTGACATTTATTATGACTACTAGGTATGCTATAGGGGTTCCATTTGTTAATGCATGGTATACGATAGGGGTACCTTTTTAGACAAAAATCGTGTATAACTGGAAATTTTAAGGGTTTGGTCCTCTCGGTGGAGCCTCAGGGTAAAAAACTTTATTGAGCCGCCCCCCTCCCCTCCCGCCCCTCGGGCTCAAACAAAAACTAACATTTTATCTACCCGTAGTCGTTTTCAGTTTATAGTTCCAGCTGGCGTGGACGTAAGACTAACGACACGTACCTTCCAAGAGGCTGTTTCTTTAGTTTGCTAAACAAGCGAGTGAAAATTTCCTGGATGTCCTTTCTTTGGCCACTTCTCATAGCTTCAGATAAAACGTCGTATCTAAATGATCTGAAAAAAGATGACTTTCGATAAGTTTTAAATCTTCCTAATTGTGGTATTAACTAAACCATACCTCGTACCATCCACGCTTTTCCTGGCTAACAAGACGAGGTTATGAAATCTGAATTATGTTCAGAAATATCGCTTAGAAAACAAAATAGCCTTGTAAATATAATTCAGTAAACGACGACAAACAAATCAAAAGGGCAAATAGAGCAACAAAAACCAACCAAACAACCTTGTTAATCCCAGTCATGAAACAATTCATCCCTGCAGGCACTTTTAAATTGAGACACTTTATTTAAACGCCTCGTCACAGGCTCAACTACAGTGGCTGAAACAGCTTCAGCCAACTGATATCTACTCACCTTTCCTGGTCGTTCCCTGTGTCTTCAATGCCAAGGAAATCAATGAGATGGTCTTGCAGCTGCCAAAAGAATTTCTGCATGGAAGCAAATTGTGTTAAGTTAGATGACAGGTATTTCTTTTATAAACTCATTTCAGAAACGCTCCGTTAGTAACTGAGATACCATTGAGCGGAGGCCCCGCTTTAAATTTTTTTACCATACAAAGTCAAGGCTACTAAAATCTTCCAAACACTCGGGATTAAGTTGTATTTGAACTCTTTTAAAAAACAATTTTAAGATTAGAGACTCAACTTTTTGAAGCACTGTTAGCATCAATGTCTCAAAACTGACGCATTTCTTGTCGTTTTTATTTTGTCTCCTTCGAAGGAAGCACATGGCAGAGACGCGCATGGGGAGTTAAGAAGGAGGGAAAAGGGGAGTCTCTTCCTTTCCCTTCGGCACTCCTTCCCGTGGTCGCCTTCTCCGAATAGTCTTCCGCGACCGTTCTGCGACCGCTTGCAAATAATCAGAGACAACTGGAGAGACGAGTCAGGTCTAAAGACACGTACAGCAGCAGCAGCGGAGAGCACGCGTGTGTTACCCTGCGTAACTGTCGGTTTTGTTGGTGAACGAACAGGGAAGTCATTGCCTTATCATCGTTCCCCCGTTGTGGCCTCGGCGCTCATTAGAGCTTTCGCTCCCCAAAAAAACCGTCATCTAGGCAGGTTGAACATCAGTCGAGCCTTAGTCCCTGTGAATTTCCTGCTTCACTACCCAGGCGCCTATATTCGAAAGTAAAATGATGACGAAAAGAACCAGTTGCCACCAAGGTACCTTGTTTTCTGGGTCGCCCTTAATCCTCCAAAATCGAGGTATGAGGCAGGTATATTTCACGTTTTTTAAGCTTTCTTGGAGCATGGAAACGGAACGTTGTAACGAAAAGATTAAGAAAAAGGCTTTCGATAAATCTTAACCTACCTACAACTGTATCACCATAAAAACTGAAACCTTACGATAGTCGTTGTACCTTGTACAGTCGCTTATGAGGTTTACTAAACACACCCCAAAGACACTTGGCTGATCTTCTAGCCACGGCCCAGGGGACTGGATGCAACTCTTTAACAAGGTACCGAGAAAGGTTCAAGGCAAGAATGGGGTCCAACAGGCCTTGACTGAAAGGAATAAGAAAAAACACATAAAAAATTGGGCTTTCTGTCAGCGATTTTGGAATGACTGTTATTAAAAGAATCTGTCATCACACCCCTTCCTCAGGCGTTTTACTCATACCTACATATGAGTAAATGTACCGCGGATAATGCCCAGTCAGTGGTGGTAGGGACGTGGTTTTAAGGCCGTTTGTTTTTGAAAACGATCCTATTTTTGTCAGAGTATCATTACAACAGACATGAGGCGGCACGAGAAAATAAACACCACACTTAAGACCGGCCTTTGATCCGCTCCCGAATCGGTTAATAAAATAACCTGTCGACTTACCAAGAAAGAGTGAAAACGTCGTGGATTAAGACAGCTCTGTCAGACGGGCTGAAAATCTATAAATTAACCGAAAAGGTTAGATAGAAAGCACGTAAAAATCTCACTTAACGGAAGAAATACTATTTAACAATCATTCCTCGAGCCCAAATGGGCTCTGAGCAAGAGAAAATGAGCTATCTTAGATCAGAGGCCATGAGGGCGAGAGGAATAATTGTTTAAGTAAAATCCAACTAGTTGGTCAAAAATATCGAGAATAAAAAAAGTTTAGCTAGTTAAAGCTACACTTTAATCCTTTTTTGCCGCCAAAAAGCCCGCGCTTTTTGCTATTAGTGGGCTATAACATATAGCCTAGTAGTAGCTCAACCAATCAGAACGCAGCGTTGATAATAGACCACTTGTTGGATTTTACTAATAAGTAATATTCGGACTTCTGGACGTTTCAGGTTATCTTCGGAAGTGTGCCGGACCTTCGTGTGACCTCAATTGACGTTTGATAAAAACAGAACTTTTCGCAATTTTGACAATTTCTCAGCATCCTCACGCTCGGCGTTGTAAACTTCCTCAAATGGTCTCAACTGCAATTCACTAACCATTCATCAAAGTGTTATATGACCAATCAATAGGTACATGAAATAATTGGATCACATGGACACCACCTCTGTAAACCCCAATACTAATCACCTGGGTTGATGAAATATTAACAAGTAGAATTCACTTTCGATTCAGATTCCTACTCAGCTAATTAGTGTTCGTTTAGCCTTTGATACAGATCTCTAATGATTATTCCATTTCACAAGTACGATAAAATATTTGGGTCCGATCTGTATGGGCTTTACACTGGCTCGCTTTCTGTTCATCACTGTAATCACCCATGCAAATCTCCCGCTCATGATTTATCTACCGATAAAAAGCGCAATTGTAACCTCGTGATCCTCCTCGAGCTGCATGGCAAGTTTGTACCAGTTTTCCTCATCATAATTAACCAAAAAGAATCCAGTTGCGTTGATATTTGCCATGATCCAGGATTTAGTGGAAGAATCTTTTAGAGAGTGGTATTCTGTTCAATCAAAGAATCCACAAATTAATTAAGCTTGTCTTAAAAGCGTAAGGTTCAATAGAACCCCATGAACTCAAATAACTTTCAAGGACGGTACAGTCGAACCTCTCCATATGGACACCTCTCTAATACGGACACCTCTCCACACGGACACCTCTCTAATACGGACACCTCTCCATACGGACACCTCTCTAATACGGACACCTTTCCATACGGACACCTCTCCATACGGACACCTCCCCAATACGGACACCTCTCTATAAGGACACCTCTCTAGTACGGACACCTCTCCATACGGACACCTCCCCAATACGGACACCTCTCTATACGGACACCTCTCTAGTACGGCCACCTCTCCATACGGACACCTCTCCATGAGGACACCTCTTCATACGGACACCTCCCCATACGGACACCTCTCTATAAGGACACCTTTCCATACGGACAAGTTTCTCAGACGGACACCTCTCCAATACGGACAGTTTCCTGTGTACCGACATAATTCTCATACATTTCCTCTTACAATAACCTCTATAATACGGACCCTCTCTAATACGGACAACGGTCGCAAAATCTCAGCCCTTGGGAGCAAATTCATAGAAACTTAACGTCTTTATTACGGACACTCCGGGGACCAGGTGTCGATAATTTGCGGTATGTACCATTTCCGGGCGGTGGTTACACAAACATTTGACACTTTATCAGTCAGCAGTACCAATACCAGAACATATCAAAATGTTAGTTTTCAAAACTTACATTTATAATTGCAGATATAGTAATCGAAAATACTGTGGCAATAGCCAATTCAATACGTATTTCTGTAGTGAGTGCTGTTCTATACAACTGTAGCAATCGACAATTAGAAACGAAAGGCGTAATTCAGACTGTTTCATTGTCCATTCAATGAATGAACACTCTAACCTGTCAGTGGGGTCTTAAAAGTGACGTCATCATGGTGACCTCTCTAATACGGACACTTCGCTCTGTCCCTTCGGTGTCCGTATTAGAGAGGTTCGACTGTGTAACACATTTCAGTTTTGCGCATTCATTTTGCGCACCTGACAATAGCATCAATATTATTATAGTGAGAGGTTTGAACCCTGGAGTCATTTCAACAACAGTCCTATTCAGGACTACGTTCACCCGGACGATCAAACTCAACCTTTTTAATATTATTATAATTATATTATTTGCAACTTATGAAGGAATTTCACCCATCTATTTTAAGTAAGCATTTACAGAAAACTTACTTCCATTGGGATGTATTGAAACCCAACGTGGTTTCTGATGAGACTGGATAATGTACGACAGAGGAACAAACCACCTCTTCCTAGGAAGATACAGCCCAAGTATGTTAATAAAAAGACAATAAATAGATACAATAGACCTTCCAGCATTCCGATCCAGTGAACAACTAACACAAAGGAATCAGATCAAGGCTCGGGTGCACAATTTCATTCAAGTCACTGAATTTTGTGCACCAGAGCCTCGAATCAGCGCCTTTCTTCACAGGAATGCAGGAAAGGTCTATAATAAAGAGAATTTTTAAGTTATCTTACCATGTAGTCACTTGAGATGTAAATCGCGTCTTCTTTACTACTTACTGCATGCTAGTGTGAACACCGGGGCCTGAAGAACCCGGTTGTTCAAATGTTGGATAGCGCGGTAGTATCCAGCGGATAAATATTAGGGAAACTAATTGCGTTATCCCGCACCGGATAGAAATTTATCCGGTGGATAGTGTCATCCACCTTTCGAACAACTGGGGCCAGGTGATTAGACCGACTAGTTACTTCGGCAGTACCATTATATTTGCGTAGATGTACCACGACGGTCGGTCGTGATTTGCTATTTCGATCCTCTCTGTTTCTGAATTGTAGTATTCAAAACGGTGTGACCTACATCTCAACGCTGCAAGGTACGTAGCAAAGAATTGTCGCATAAACAACATTTCCTAAGGTAGATGAACTTTAATCGAGTCACTTTTCATTTTTTCTTTTAATTTATCCTCTTTTTAAGACCAGCGAATTTAAACTTCCATACAAATCCTTATATTCTGCAACCAACAGGACTTTTAAGGACGCCTGGGCTCCCTATTCTATGACCTGCAAGCAAGTTTATTTGTGACGATGGCGTGGCTGTCGCCTTCTTAATTTGTTTTTAAGCAAGAAAAGGGTACACCCTCTGAAATTTAGTCGCTGACCGGCTAGGCCTTCTTCCTAATTCCAATTTTAGCGGAGAGCCGACAGCATTTATGTAGCGAGCTTGGAAAGTTGCAGTTTCCTAAATGTCCTCAGAACATGAACAGCAAAAGCAAAGTTACGCTTTTGACAATGAAAGCTTAAATAATATAGACAGAAAAAGGTAATTTACGCCAAGCAATATTTTCTTAAGGAAAAAAAGTGCTTGGCACTTGTTCGAACAAACCTCGATCCATACCCCAAATAAATTCCTCAGGGTGCATTTTCACCAAAACACTGAAACTTTCTAATTTATTTACACACATACTGGCACTTATTGTTCAAAACCATTTAGCTACAATTTACAATTCACTTACAGATAGCCAGTCAATGTCTATGATTTATTTGCTACTAAAATTGCAAAAATATTACTGGTAATTGATTCTTGTTGAAAATCCAAGTGTCTCTCTTGAAAATTCAAGTTAACTATCCTAAGAAACTCCGAAGCAGTTTGTTCTTTTAATATAGCTGTAATCACGTTTTACAACCATAACCGTAAAACCTTAAGATCAATGTAAATATTTTTCGTTTTCCATCAAAATATTGCAAGTTATTATATTACCGATTCTGAATTTGTTTGCCTTCACTCAAATATCTGGACACGGTGGTTGAAGAAGTCAGACACGGCTATTTTACCATCGCTAAGGACTGCTGTAGAAACTAGTTCATTAAAAATTCCCTTTCCGCTATCATAGCATCCAAACTTAGATACAAACTTTCCACTCATTTCGAAAATCTGCACTCTGTAGTTTTGTGAATCACAGACAATCAGTTGTCCTGCTTTGCTCACTGATAGGCAACTGGGTCCATTGAACTCCCCGTCTTTCTTCCCCGGCTTGCCAAATTTATACATAAACTCTCCCGCCTGATTAAAAACTTTAACACAATTTTCACCAAAGTCTGACACTACAAGATGGTTATCATGTTGAATACAATGGAAGGGAAAGGTGAACGAGTGTGCTGTTCCGATTTTCCGCAAAAACCGACCCCTAGTAGAAAATACCTTAACTGATTTGTTACCAGCATCAGCAATTATAAGATTGCCTTCATAGTCTACTGATAAACCCAGAGGAAGGTTAAGCTGGTCATTAAGATTACCTTCGCCTCCAAACTGGCAGAGAAATTCACCCTGAGCGCTAAAGACTTGAACTCGGTGGTTATTACAATCGGCTACTAAAATCTTATCATTATGAAAAGCAACCCCGGTAGGTTTATTAAATTGTCCCTCTTGATCTCCCTTGCTTCCAAAAGCTCTTAAACAGGACCCATCACTACGGAAAATCTGCACCCTATGATTTAGCCTATGAGTCACTACTAGTTCACTTCGTCCATTCACTGCAAACCCCCAGGGATAATTACATCTTCCTAAAGACGGTCCTGGTAGACCAAAACTTGATACATGTTTGAACTGCCTGGCTCTGACTTGAACCTCGAAAGGGCTGCCATGAACATCGTCTCCATTCACCTTCACTGATACCGCGCATTTCCCAGTTTCTCTGGCAAAGTAGGTGATCTTATAAGCACCATCTCCGTTGTCCTCGACTTGTGTTTTCGTGGCGCAAGTATGTCCTTGCCGGTTTCTGATTTCCACTTTTACAAAGTCATGCTCTTCATAGCTCTGAACTCCTTCGGCAGTTCTTGTTGTTACAACAATCTGTGCTTCAAGACCAACAATTGCTTCTTTGATTCCTTCGCCCTCGGCGCTTGATCGTTGCGCTACAGTGTTGCTTAGGAAACTTCTGAATGATCCAATTCCTTCGGATTTCACTTTGTCCATTAACATTTCGTTTTGTATAAAAACAATGTGATAAATCTTTTCAAGGTCACAGTTGACTTCTTCTCCATCAATGTAGTCTAGTCCTTGGAAGATCCCGTTGGTGCCAAATTTTGCGATCTCGTCATTTGTTTTTTTCAAAAGTTGTTTAGTTTTCTGGATTGCTGTCTTAATCACTTCTTCTTGACTTTCAAGCTCGCTTTGTTGGGTTCTTAGGAGATGTAGAGATTCTTTTGCTTTCTTTTCCACGTCATTGAACAATTCCTGCTTTTTAGCCTCAAGGATGGCGATCATGCTGTCAACAAAAATCTGTGCACCACTTTTAACTCTGTCTACCTGGGTTTGAATGTTTGCACATCTAGCCTGAATTTCTTTAATTCTTTCCCTCTTTTGAAGCACTCTTTGATTCTGTGATTTAATAACAGCTTTAAGATGTAAGTTGTGATCATTTTCACTTTCGTCCGAACGAGGCGCCTGGGCTGTACACAATTTGTTAAGCGCTGCGATACACGAATAGCAAATGACAACTTCGCAACTCTTGCAAAATTCCTTGTGTACATGGCCTGGGTTTCCGCAAAACGCTGACCGTTTTTTGATCTCAAAGTCGTGATTTTCAAAGTCTTTCAGTGCCAGCGCATGGTGTTCTTTATTAGATTTGATGCCGTCATGAAAAATGATGCAGTAGTCGCACCAAATTTCACGGCACTGGAAACAATAAGAACTGTGTACACTCTTTTTGTCGCAATTTCCACACCTAGCACCGGTCGCATGATACTCCTTCCTGGCCAAAACGTCGAGCAGGCTGCTGATACGAAAGTTTGTAGGAAACGCTCCGAGGTTTCCATTTTCAGGGACTCTGAATTCCTGTCTACATTCAGGGCACGTAATCCGGTTTAGTTCAGTGCTGAGACGAGCTCGTTGAACCCCGTTTAAGCAGGGAAGGCAAAAGTTGTGCAAGCAAGGCAACTGCTTTGGTTCAGTGAACGAACACTTACATAAAGAACAAGACAATTCTTCATGAAGATTACCTAGCAAGGTCTTTATATCCATTGTCAAGATATCAGAGCAGATGAAATGAGGAAGGCAATCAGCTATTGAGGTCACGCTTCAATACAGTCCGATGATCCAGGACATAATATTATATTCAGGGTTTGGTATCAACCAATAATAACGTGTTACTTTGACATGTTTTGACGTTGTCCGCATTCTAAGAATGGTTGCCAACTGTTCTCGATTTCCGAGAATGTTGACTACACTAGTGCGACCTATTAGTTCAGTGTAGATCTTTTTTTCTCACGAGATCATGATTTGCGAGATCACGAGAAATTTCATTAACTTTGACTCGTTAGAATTTTTTTAAAAACGTTTCTGGTCACAAACGTTATAGAGGTACAGTCGAACCTCCACTAACCGCCACCTCCCCACAACGGCCCCCCGCCCCCCCTCTACAACGGCCAATTTTTTTTTGTCGCGGTGGACACGATCTGTACTTTGGCTCTTGTTGAAACCTATCGAGAACGGCAACGGCCACTAAAGCGCGTCTGCCAAAACAACCTCTCGACAACGGCGAGTTTTTTTAGCGACTGACGGGACAAGAATAGGTAGGAAATTTGATACGTAATGCGCGTCGATGAAAAGTAGCAGAATACAGTACTTTTTATTGTAAAAAACCTTTTTAAGAAAATTCTTAGAGCACGCACCTCAGGTTGAGAGAGAGTTAAGAATATTTTTGGTTTGTTCATATTTTAAAACATTCGAAATATTTAAAACAAGGAATCTTCCCGTCTAACAGAGCCCTTATAGCGAATGTTGCGAGCCTTGTTCATTTTGTCTTGTTGACATTTTGATTCAAAACATTACTTAATAAGTTATGTCTTTGTGTATTTTATCAGGTATATTATTTATGATTGGATTATTGTTATAGGCTACAGTAAGCGTGAGCTTGGTACAATAAATATGTTGTGCCCCCCCCGAAAAATAGGTATCATATTACAAGGGAATGAAAAAAAGGGAAAATTTTTTTTTCTGGCAAACGGCCACGAATGCCTCAAACCGAAAAAAGAACCTAGCTACAGAGCATCTCGCATACTATAAATTATCATAATTATGATCCATACGAAGCGCAGAGCGTAAACAAAACTGGATGATTAAAGATGAAGAAGGTAGTTCCCTAACTAGACGTTACTATAGACGTAAACAGTCGGAAAAAGGCGTTTTCTGGGGAGGGAGGGGGGGGGGACGTGCGAGCACTTGTGATGCACGAGTCACAGGAGCCAAAGAAGGGAGGAAGACAGGGGAGACGGTCGAGTTTCTCCCCCTTACCCGTACCTAAACGTACGCAATTTCTTCCAGAGTCGCGTTGCCTGTACAGCTGCCAAGGAGACTGCCTCCTCCTCTCTCCACTGCGTGCCCGATCTATTGATCACTTTTTCAATGAAACACAGTAAAAACCGATCGCTCGCCTGCCAGAAAATTAACTATTGGCGGGACTCGTTACCGAATGGGTAGAGTATATGGTGCAAGTGCTTTTAACCTACTACTGGACTTTCAAGATATTTATTTGTACTAATCCCATATAGAATCAATTATGAACTGAGCGTCAGTCATTAATTTGTCGTTTTTATAATTTGAGAACTCAAAATAACCTTTTTTAAAGAATCAGAATGTCGACCAATCTAACTTACCGGGATCTGAAAAGAAACTAAAACTCTAAACAAATAAACAAACCAAAACGACAACAAAAAACAGACTATAAACCCTTTACTTATGATTACCGAACAGCTGGATTTTTCTCTTTGTCCCGCTTCAGTCTGATTTTATCCAGAAAATCCTCGTGCTCGATTACAAATGAGTCTCCTCGCTTTCGAATACTGACGATCGGAAAGCCTTTTTGGTCTGTCCAAACTTTCATCATTTCCCGGATATTCATATTCCCATTTGCCTACAAACATTACAAGACGACTTGTTAGTGTTTAACGGCATCTGTAAGAACACAGTGTAGTGCATGTGACAGGACTGTTAGCAAATCTCCAATATAACTGAAATCTCTTAAACACGTCAGTACTCAGTAAATGTGAAATTATGATACGAACAAGATTCACAATAAAACATCGATTTCTTAGTCAACATAGCAGACTTTTCCATGAACAGTTCGAATTTTAGCTATTTATTAACAAAAACAAACAAGACCGCGACAAAAAGTTGTGAAAATTTTACCATTATACAGCCCTCCATTTCTTCGGTCAAAATGGGAATCATAGTGGTGCTACTCTCTGCATGGATTGATCAATACTCTCCAATGAATAAACACCAAAAAAACGACTTGCCCTGGTGGAAATCTCTTTTCACTCAGTTTCAATATTCAGGATCAGGAGTAAAATCAAAGCTATAAACTGTAGCTTGCTCGCAATGCTTCATATTTTCTTTCTTAGCCCTGAGGGGTCGTTGACTATGTGCGTGCGTTGTGTCGGCTTTAACGATACTCGCGAGTAAAAGCGGGTTTTTAAGAAATAATTACCTCGCCAATGGCATCCCACAATTCTTCTGCATTTGCGTTTCTATATTTATGAACCTGTACGTAGCGCTGCGAAAATAAAATAAACCACTTCAGCAACTTAGCATCCCAGATTGCCAGACGTAACTAATCGATGATCAGTGACATCAATGAGTAATCGATCGTTAATCATAGAGTAGTAAACGGACTAGTCACTAATTATTGTGCGATGATCAATGGGTGATCGATGACTAATCGATGACCAAAAATGTCACCTATTTTCATTGATGCTATTGATTACCTTGATTCCATTCATGAATCTTACTTCGCCGAGAAAGTTCTTGAGCATTCTTAAAATCATGGCTGCCTAGAAAGCATTACAGCAGAACATCAAGTCAGAAACAACTTCGGCAACGTCTCTTAAGGCGTGCGTCAATATTAGCCAACAACATTCCGGATTAACGCATGAGTCAATAACATCGCTACTTTATTACCGGTCAAGTCACAATCAAGATTATAGTATTATGTAATCAGCACAATAGACACTGTCTTTAAAGTGCTCTTCCGGACTACACTCACCTAGTCGAAATACTACACCTGATCCATTCTACTAACTTCAGTACTAACTACAAAAAGCAGATTGCAGTGCTAGTGGTGGACTTGTATGTCGGCAAGGGAAACAGTAAGTAATACGCTTTGCCATTTCAGGAGTGTATATTAAGCATGTCACCCTGAGGTTGACTTAAAGGGGTTATGTCCCGCTATTTGTGTTCTTTTTAAAATACTACAAGTTATCTTTGCATCAACTGAATCCCAAAAATAATAGCTAATAATGGTCCAGTTTTTTTTCTATTTAAGACTATAATTATGTATTGAAACTGTTTCCTGCCGTCTTTTGCTACGGATGGCAAGGATGAACGTGCATTGAAACTTTTTCAAGCTTTAATGCTACAGTGTGTATGCCTGCAAAATTCACCAAAACATTTTTATAGGTGGTTTTCACGTTACGTCATCGCCGCCATGCTGGTGGACGGTAAACAAAAGATTGCTCATTAGCTCGTTTTGTTTGTCCACCAGCATTTGTTCATTTCACCTTTGTTATTTGTGTCTCCCGAGATTGCATGAAAACCACCTATAGTTATTGGTGTTCGTTGGTGAAATTTGTTTGATATGTTTTTCATAACATTAGTAATAATGACTTTAGCACGGAACAGACCCAAAACAGAAATATCCTCTTGACCCCTGCTCTTGGTATTGCCCTTAAGTATAATCAAGACAGGCTAATCCTCTTTTGGTATAATAAGGAAGAATGTTTCCTGATTACCTTCTGATAGGAGATGGTATCAAATATGTCATCAATCTCTTCAGGTCTATGAACCTGTACACTGATTGGATGAGAGGTCCATGCTGAGTCAGCTTGTAACCCATTTAGCCAGCTTGTGGCAACAACTCTTTCACGCTGAAAAATAACACACAGTACGGTCTTTTAAACCTTTTTCCTTTATGGTCCAAGGCCATGCCCAAGGCTTGCGTTCATAATTCAAATTCCGACAAAAAAATATTTTTCAGGTGTATAACATTACGTACCCTGCTAACCGAAGTTTCTTTCTGACATGGTTTTTTAGCATTTACGAAGTCGTTCGCGTCTTTTGCATTAAGTTTATTGAATTCCCTAGTAATGAATTATCATCAACATGATGGTTATTTTGTGTTACCATGGTCGTTTTTGGTTTTAGTTTACTGCAGCCCGCAACTGTACATGACACAGTCTATGGCCTGTTTCAAAGCTTGTTCTTCTGCCGTGCAAATTTGTGAGCACGGCATTAGCACGACGTACGCGTTTGAAAAAAAAGTCTTGCCATTGCCACGTAGCACGGTCTATACAATAACATGGCAGTATCATTACCGTGTTCCATCCATTGAATCCAGGTTTCACTCCAAATTCATCTTCCAGAAACATGGCAAATCCTTCGTTTAACCACAAGTCATTCCACCATCGCATGGTTACCAGGTTACCAAACCACTAAGAAAAAAAGAGCAAAAGGACAGCTAGAGAGGGTCCTCTGAGAGCTGTCTTTCTTAACAGTTTAAATAGAGAACTTTAGATCTTAAGACGAGGAAGATTACGCGTACGATATTTTCTCAATACTAAGTGGTACTAAGTAGTGCTCACGCTTGACCCAGCTTCATTTTGGCGGGAAAACATGATAGCCGTCTTCAGTGGTGGCAACAAGTTATCAAATGTTAGAGGTTTTATCATTATGCAATCGGGAGAGGGTTTAACCTCCTTCGATAAAGATAGCAGTGCCTACTTTTCTAGTGAAAAAAAAAGAAAAGAAAAAAGTAGCCTGCAGTGCAGGCGTATTTTGGGTGGGCGAAACCTTGTTCGTGTTCGTAATATTGTTGTAGCCGCTATCTTTGATTTTATGACAGTGGAAGATTGGGGAGAGTATAAATAGTAACCCTTACGGTTGACTCGCCCCATCTCCTCCTCTCTTCGGGAAGTTTCAACATGGCGCTTTCGTGAGCGAATTGCGCGCTCAAAGAAAACGCCTGCACTGCAGGCTAGAAAAAATGTACAATGAGGCTTTCTGGGGTGTCTATTTGTGAGAATACGCGAAAACAACATTAAGTCATGCAAATCTCTGTTGACGCAACCACGCAACGACGTATGAAACACGCATGTTTCACAAAGAGCTCTGCACCGCTGATCAAGATCGAAACACATTAAATTTCATTGAGGGAAAAAGTTGTTAAAAGTTCTCAAGCAATTTCTATACTTATTGAGACAATTAAAATCTTAGGCCAGGGGCTGCTTAGGCTAGCTCTGAACAAATTATCCTTTATATGTATAAAGGCTAACAGATACTGAATATAATCACCTGATGCGCCAGCTCATGTGCTATGACTTTGGTCACGGAAAGTTTAGTGTCAGTTGAGGAAAACCTGTCATCATACACAAGATGGACTCGCCTGAACAACACTAGTCCCCAGTTCTCCATGGCACCCATAAGGAAATCCGGTACAGCAAGCAGATCTGAAAGCATAGGGCGATGACAACAATATCAAGAATATTGATCATTCTTGTCTCTAACAATTTCATTATGGTGCTAACCTACTGTCTCTAAAAACTGTATTAAGGTTTTTTGTGCCTGACTCAAACCATCCATATAGATAATATATAGATGAGACATAGATCATAATCAGGAACCTGAAATAATTTTAACTTTAGTAAATATCTTATTAACCGCGTGTTTTTTGGTCTGTACTGTGAGATGCAAAATCTCGTTTTTATTTATTGCCCGAAATCATGGTCAGTAACGTCTGGTACGGAAATCGAAATTGTTTACTGGGCATGCGTTATTGACTGAAGTGAGAGGTCAAGTTTTCAACCTACAAGTACTGCACTAGATAAGAGTATTTCCTGGTATTGTTTATACTCAGTTCGAGAAGGAAACAGGCAACAATTTTGAGTCATTTTGTGTAAACACCTAAAAAGTGAAATCAAAGCATACCAAGATTCTCCAGGATTTCAATGCTCCGCGCGAACCGACACAGCTTGGCTTTTAAAGGAATACTCACCAAGTTTAGGAAGGGGGAAAGGTTCCCCAAAAAGTTTTTCAAACTGAGACAATAACTTGACAGCAACCTCAAGAGCATAATCCAAACGTCCATAGTCGATGGGTGGGGCATAGACGCGAACCTGTTGTTAAGGGTAGCAAATACAAGTCAGTGTATGAGAACCAAACCTTTTAAAACGTTTTTGGGTTTTTAAGTTGTATATAGGAGCCCGTAAAGAAATTATTGCGTTCAAATATTTTAGCATGGAAAGTCCCATAATATGAAACACTGGTGCAGAACTACAGCTAATTCATAAAACACTTCTATGAGGTATGCCATCGATCTGGTCTCTAGGCCCTGGTCTCTTGCTTTGCTCTTAATTAGCTGCTCGCTCGAGCTTTCTCTCTCAAGAACTTGCGACGCTCGCCGCTCAAATGAAGAGCTTGCTTGCAGTCAAGATGAGTCGTTTTACACGTCTTATACGCCCTTTAGTGTAAATACAACCATTGTTGCCAGACCATCCAAATAAACGCTTTGCTCGCCACAAGACAACTTACCAAAACTCCAGAGTCAGTCTTGCTTTCTTTGTATTTGAAGTCCATTACTGCGAACGCCACAAGATACGAGCTCATGTTGACACTGGGGGCGAAATGTGTTTCCACAAGTCCATCTTTCCTGACGACACACCGGACCCGCGGCATATTGGACAGGGCGTAATACGGCTCAGGGTCATGAATTATAGAGATGTTGAAGGACGCTTTAAAAAGGGGCTCGTCAAAACACGGAAACACCTTCCTGGCATGAGCGGGCTCAAAATAAGTCACAGCTACTGTCCTGTTAAGATTAAAATAAAAATAAAAACCAGAAGACTCAATGATTGTAGTAGTTTATATGACTGTCCCATAACTTCACTGTTCCGGCATACTAGGTCGAATCAAAGGCCTACAATAGGTTAATTCATGTCTTGATTGCTCCATCATACCTCCAAAAAATCCTCACATTGCAGGGGTAACACAGTTACTGTTAAGCTAGTAGTTTTTATCGTGGGCGAAAAAGTTAAGAATCTCTACTGGCCGGTGGTAAACTAGTTTGCTGTTGTCAAGCGTGAGTGAGGAGTTGGAATCAGGGACCCCGGATTAATATTCCAGCGCTTCAATCGCTCGGCATGCTGCCTCCTGCTACCCTCCTATTCCTTTTAAGCTGTGGTTTGGTTGGTGGTGACCTCACAGTTTACTAGAAAATCTAACAGATCTTCATCCAGTGTAGCCTCCCTGCAGGCGTTCTTTTGCCTCGTCGCCCAATCACAAAACCCCTAAAAACGTCTGCGTGGCAGGCTACCTCCAGTGCTGAGGAATGGCTATATATGTCACTAGTTGGACGTACGCCCTAGTACGACGAAATCCCCATATGACGCTCGTGACAACCATGACGAGCCGCGAAATAAGGGCTCCTGCGAACACACCGTTATAACGAGTGACCGTTCTTTCTCCCCTCTTTGAATAAATTGTATTGAACAGGCCCTGGATCTTCCAAAGTTGAGTTCATTTACATGGTAGTCCTATCCACCAGATAAATCGCTACCAGTGGATAGTACTATACACGTCTCCAACAGCGGTGATCACGGATAAATATACCCCGGATATAGTGAAAATATTCCCACTATACCTTGGGACGTCATAATGTCGGCTTACACTATCGCTTGTGAATAAATTACGATCTTTCTTTTATGTTTGGCCTTTGTTCACCTATTCTTATCAAGGGGCAGCACATTCTTTCCATACAATTCGAATGGTACCAATGGGGATAAAATACTCCAAAAATTAAGTCATGTGATAACCTCGCACCCAGGGATTCTCTTATCTCTTTACCTTCTCTTTCCCTCCAATGAAAAAAGAAATGGGAACGAGCGATCTATGATAATCATTTGCCGCTTTCTTAAATGTATAGTCAAACCCCGTAATATTTATTCACCTTTCTATAATGGACACCAAAAATCAGTTCCGCATGTTCTTCCTTTTTTGCAAAACTAGCTAGACGCCTTTCTAAGACACAACAACTGTCTTCAGTACAGTGTGACCTCTATATCTAGTTTACAGGAAATTGGTATCAAAGCAGATAGATATAGATGCTTGTGGCACTAGTGGGCTATGGTTAATAACTACTCGCTTACCTTTTTTCCCCATTTTCAGTAGAATACGAACTCTTGTAAAATCCTACAAGTGTGTCGGAAATCTTCGACTTGAACTTCAAACTAAGGAAGTACACTACCCCTATACGAAGGTGTTCTCGTAGCTCAATACAGAGCTGCTGATTTTTCTTGAAGCCAAGAATTCTTTCTATGGCTATTTTATTCTCTGGAGGTTGCCTTCTTTTTTCTATAGACACGTTTAGTATGTCTAGCTCTGCAGAATGGAGAATAACAAAGCGTGTTTTATTCTTACAAATAATTTCAATGGTAACAGTTCCGCCATATCGTAGAGTTGTTAAATTCACTCGTAAATCTAGTTTATATCTGAGCGGTTTTAAGTCCTTTGGAAGACGTTCGTCTTGGTGAGGAAAGTTCTCAATGCTCTCGACAAAGTGAAACTTTGTCTCCTCCCCTCTGGTGCGGTGTTTGGAGAGCTCTCGCGCATGCTCAGTAAAACGAGGTAGAAAGTCGTGCTTTGCTAACACTCCGATTAACGCGGCAGCTAAAAGGATCCAGAGAAATGAAAATGCAAACTTAAAAAGCAGCTTGTGTTTCTTAGAATTCCCTGAATTCAGTCTTTCTCTGTTTCTTTCGTTCTTTTTTGCCATTCAGTTTCAACTTGTCCATTCAGTTTTCAAAAATTTTCCTGAAATATCAATGGCAATAAAAGAAATTTTAAACAACATTGTTCGTCAACTCTCGCTTTGGGGAATCTCGCCATTACGCACTCCTCGCTAATACAGACAGCAGCTATGTCTAAGCCTCGAGTAAAAACTACGGGAGTTAAGCTGAAAAAATCTCGCTCCACGATCTGTGGATTAGATTTTCCGGCGTTCTAACCAACTGAGCCAGGAGACCAGCAGAGTAACCTGTTCCTTAAGCTGCAATCGGCGAGAAAACTGGTTGAGACACTTTGCCCTAAAAGGCCTCTCTGAAGTTTTACCGACTTCGAACGGGTGGGGGGGCGGGGGGGATTAAGGTTTCCTTCCCTCACACCCCTCTATGCAATGATGCGCTGCTGTTCGAGCTACCTTTAGGAAACAACAAGCGCCACTTTAGATGTAGGGAAGGGGGAAGGTGCGTGGATTGTTTAGTTCTCCGAAGTTACCCCTATTTGAAGACACAACAATCTTGTCACAGTTTCTGGTTAACTCTTCGGGAATATAGGGAGGGATGTAATACAAAAAACTGGTTCACAGCCCCGCCTCAGGAGCACAAGGGTTGTGGGTTTCTGAGCCGTCTGTTTCCTTACACGTTCTTGCCAGTTTAGTTTATTTAGGAAAACAGAACGGTGTGAGGAGTAAATAGGCTGATTTAGCAACAGAACGGGAACGTCATTTGACGACGGCGTGCAAATAAAACAACTAACTTGACCAATGGCAGAGCGGAAAATTGGGCACCGGAAGTCGAGTTTAGTCCTTTCCACGCGCTTTCCGCCGTCGTCAAATGACGTTCCCGTTCTGTTGCTAAATTAGCCTAATAAGGTATCACACGACGACCAGAAAATTCAAGAGGCCATAAGGAGAGGAGGGAGGAAACGCTTATCGTATTCCCTGTCTTGTACAGGGAACGTCAACCTCAGTTTTGAGTCATCGGAACAAAAGTCAAATTGTGAAAGATGCGATGAGTTACAGTGTCGCGAACTGGGTAGGGGGAGGGGGGGGATAAACGAACCTCCTACGGGACGCAAACTGATGACTTCTTGTGATTCTTGTCCCCTTTTGATGACGTGATCCGTGTTGCTCTGAGGACGAGAATGGCCTCCCGTTAACTAGTTGGGCGTTCTAGTCCCCGCCCCCTATCCCGCCTACCAGCTCTCTCCACTGTAGTACAGACCAGAAGCAAACTATGACATTTAGACAAACCCCGTTAATACGGACACTGAGGGGACCATAGAAAACGTCCAAATTAAAAGGGTGTCTGTATTAGGTGGGTTGGATTTAGAGAAAATGTAAGGGTTTTCCGTCTTCAGGGACAACGGAAACTGTCCGCGTAATAATGAAGTGTCCGTATTAAGCGGGTGTCCGATCCGTACTGCGGGGTTTGACTTAAGCTATCGAACAGCACAATTTGTGCCCAAAGTTTAGTTTTTAAATAATTTTTAAGTTGTCCGAATGTGAAAGGTAGATGAGTTTAATAGTACGTTTGTAACTTTAATTCTCACAGGTGAATAATTAACTCACCTGCGATACCTGCTATGTTATGAAACTCATCCACGAAAGTAAAATTTCTTATTCGGCTGTTAATCCAGGAGGAAAAATCCACCCTTTTTAACATCCATCAACAAATTGCTAACATCCCCATTAAAAAGTTTTTGAATTTGGTTACCTTATTAACTTAATAAGTAACAACTACCAATTCAATAATTTTCATTGGTCATATATAGCCTCAGTTGGTCACAGCCAGAAATCCCACTTCTTTCAACTTTCTTGCTAAAGCTACCTCCAATAAATTATCAACTCACCTTTTTAGCCAATTCTTATCTTTTCTGTTGGTCGTTTTCATTATAGCAGCTTCTAATCCCTGTAAACAGGCTATGATTCGTGAAATACGTGTTAATTTCACAAGGCTGTTATGAATGGCCCGCGATCGAGCTTCCTTGACAAAGAGTCAGCGGTTGTGGTTTGTCGAGAGGCGTTCAATCTCATTCAAGGAATTTTTTTGAAGAAGATCTGGTGACTCTCATCGCTTTTTTGCAACATGAGCCTACAAAATATGATTCTATGGAAATTGGTTAAGCTCGTTAACCTGGAAAAACTTGCTATACAGTCCTTTTTTCTTCTTTTTTTCGAGCAATTTGGCTAGCGCTAGGGTTGTTGTTTTTATTTTCCACACGCGCGCTAGGCGATCTATCTAAAAGGAGAAAATAGAAGATCCGTGAACAGGCTGGCTATTTTCGTGGTGTTAACAGGGTTAAGTGGTATGATTCTGTGGTAGGTCAGCCAGAAATGAAGATAAGGTCTTTTGCCCAATTTCTGGTAGCTATGGGGTTGAGTGGACTTTGAAGCCAAAGAACGAGTTTGGCTTGTCCGCTTTACTAAATTCTCAGCGAGACTCTTCAGCTTATTTAAAACAAAAATCGACTCTGCCATTACACCGGAATACAGGCTAACAGTAACTGTCCATAAATCAAACACCGAAAACAGAAGATCCGACACCAAAGACTCGTAAAAACTGACGTAAAACTACATTTGGATGACACTGGAGCTACCTCATAACACACTTCTTCATAGGCACGTTATCGATACGGTGTTTGTTTTGCAGAAAATGCTTGGTCGAACTATAAAAAGGAAGACCTTGGCTAAGCCCTCTCGTCTGGCTCCGAAATACACTTTACAGGTACTACCTGCTGCTATTTGCCAGGCGTTTAAATGCATACGTTGTTAATAGAGTCTTCTTGTAGAAAAAGCATGTCAAACTACAAAAAAGAAGACTTCTCTTAAACGCTTTGTCGCTCGCTACAGGCTTTATCTGGCGTTGTGAGACACGTTATCGATATCGAATCGGTAGGGTCGTAATTTTGTAGCAAAAGTTAAGGTCAAATTACAAATCGAACCTCGATTTTTCTGAGACCCTGGCGCTTAAACGCTTTTCCAGGCGCAGAAATACAACGTGATATAGTTAGGGTCGTTGTTATTCGAAGAATATAAACCCCGGTCAAACTACAAAACGAGGACCTTGGCTGTTGCTTACGTTAAGGCTTATATCAAGACATTGAAACCAATAAAGCATATATCATCCAAGTTTTACATATAAAAGATTCCTAAAAGCTAGAAAGTGAAACTGAAAGAAGTTTGATTGAGAAATTCTTCATTACATTGTGGAAACAACATTTATAAATAAGGTTGCCGTATCTGTTCTGCCGCCGTTTTATATCTGGCGTTCCTATCTAGTACTAACCCTTATCTATTTCAACCCCACTTGTCTGCACTCTGTATTCCGTAGTCCGTCAAACTTATTCTAAATTAAGTCACACGAATCAAAGCAGTTTGTCGTTTGGCAATGAACGTATTCCAAATTCAAAATTGTATTATATTCAATTCAGGATCATTAAGCCGAGCCATGAGACTTTGATTCTGCATGGGGCGCTCTGAAGTACTATGCATGTCCTCTACTGCTGATGCTCTGTCAGCGTCAGTTTTTTCTTTATGCCTCTTTTGACAGCTCTTACTTTTTCTCTTGGCTTGTGAACCAGAAGAAATCTTTCTTGCCCCTTTAGAAAGTTGACTTGGGGGAGTTGCCAGGTAGTAGGTAGCATTTTCATACGAACAATTCCTCGCATTGCTTTGGTTTGAACTAAATTGACTTTCAGTTTCACAGTCTACATATTTGTTATACCCCTCCCTTCGCTCTGTGTTCCTTCGCATGGAGTTGGAGTTATCGCCTTGATCAAGATCACATGAAAAGTTTTCATAGTTGTTAATGAAAGTATGTTCGTTGGATGCTGTATTTCGTTGAAGTTTATAACGCACAACGTCATCTTCTTGATTCACTGGGCCTGCCATGCTTTGACCTGATTCGCGAGGATCTGAATTGTGTTCTGCTCTTTGTGGCATTTTAGTAGAAATGGGGCAAACAGCGCCTGAAGCCACTTCAGTTTTGTTCTGACATTGCCTCAGATGTTTGTTGTCTAAAGAGTTCTGTTGTATTTTACCATTCATGGAGTTTCCGTCATGATCTAGTGATTTCACTTTTTGGTATTGAGCTGTGTTCATATCTTCTTTGGCATCTCTCTGTGGGTTGTCAGAAACATTCTTTTGTTCTAGACGAACTGCCCTGTTTGGGTAATCTGCAATAAGCGAGTCATCTTTTTTGTTAAATCCACTATTAACAACCTCGCCTCCATTGACAGGGAAACTAATAACGTCATCATAGATGAAGTAGTCATCTTTGTTTTTCATGATGGTTTGATCTTCATCGAGGACGTCGTCATAGTCATTTTCAGCCTCACTCTTGTGGCTCTCAACGTTACTCAGATTAGAGATCAATACTTGATACTCTGCGGAACAACACTCATGCAGTCCAGCATATGTTGCGCTGTTTTCTGTCTTGGACGAATTTCCATTTTCGCAATTCAAGGTGCTTCCAACTAACTCTACAGAGGAGTAGTGAACGCTGTCAGTCCAGTTACGTTTGGTACGTTTCGTACTTTTTGTCTTTTCAACGGAACATGGATCTCGTAATGTCGTGTTCTTTAATTTTATTGGTGTCGATGGAACGTCACATTTCATGTTTTCGGGATTTGAACAGTTACTTGCATTAGCTATTGACGTTGGCCTAGCTTCGATTCTTCCCATACCACCCATAGGACGATTTGCGTCGTCACTGCATCCCTTGAAATTAACACTGTGTGATCTTGTACTCGGCGAAACATCAGTAGAACTGTAAAAAAGACTAGATGACCTGCTTTCTTTAACGGGAAGACTTTTAGACAAATTTCCCCTATCAGAGTATTTTTCCAAAGGGCTCAAATAACTCGAACTACCGTTTGGCATAGTTTTTAAAGACTTTTCAAATCCCTCTGTTTTCTCAGCGACTGAAGTGCGTGTTATTGTTTTTGCTGTATCGCGCGAAACGATTGATTTATTGTGCGTGGGCGCCAAAAGTTGCTCATTCGACAAAGGCAAATCAACTGACTCGTAGAGAGGGTTTTCAGTTTGGCTTTTAGGGTTTAGAGGCACCGTGAAAGCATTCTGACAATTTTCGATGCCTTTTTTCTCTCCCGATGTTTCACAATAGGTGGATACTATTGGTTCTTCGTACCCTCCACGGCACTCTCCAGTGTCACGGAAAAAAGTGGCACTTATCCTGCCGTCAGTTGTATCATGATATTCTAGCCTTCTGTCCAAGGAGCCTCCTTCAGAAGAACAGCTTGCGTAATATTCATCATCCACACCATAGCTTGCTGATGCCGTCTCCACATATTTGTAATTATGCTTTGACGTTGGCTGAGCTTCGATTCTTCCCATACCACCCATAGGACGATTTGCGTCAGCACTGCATCCTTTGAAATTAACACTGTGTGATCTTGTGCTCGGCGAAACATCAGTAGAACTGTAAAAAAGACTAGATGACCTGCTTTCTTTAACGGGAAGACTTTTAGACAAATTTCCCCCATCAGAGTATTTTTCCAAAGGGCTCAAATAACCCAAACTACCGTTTGGCATAGTTTTTAAAGACTTTTCACATCCCTCTGTTTTCTCAGCGACTGAAGTGCGTGTTATTGTTGTTGTTGTACCGCGCGAAACGACTGATGTATTGTGCATGGGGGCCAAAAGTTGCTCATTCGACAAAGGCAAATCAACTGACTCGTAGAAAGGGGCTTCAGTTTGGCTTTTAGGGTTTAGAGGCACCGTGAAAGCATTCTGACAACTTTCGATGCCTTTCTTCTCTCCCGATGTTTCACAATAGGTGGATACTATTGGTTCTTCGTACCCTCCACGGCACTCTCCAGTGTCACGGAAAAAAGTGGCATTTATCCTGCCGTCAGTTATATCATGGTATTCTAGTCTTCTGTCCAAGGAGCCTCCTTCAGAAGAGCAGCTTGCGTAACATTCATCATCCACACTATGGCTGGCTGATGCCGTCTCCACATACTTGTAATTGTGCTTTGCAAAGAATGAAACAGGGCACATTCTTTCGATATCTTCTGTTGTGTAGTCTCTCTTGGCATTTGTTACATGAACGGCATTCTGCTGACAAATGGATAATTCCAGTGGCCACTCGTTTTCTTTGTGATTTTGTAACCACAGCTCCATGATCCAAGATTTCATTGGTTCCCTTGGGGATAACAAAGTTTTGTTAGGTATTGCCGTCAGTTGCCACGACAGTAAATGTTCATTGTATGCATCCCTCCCTCCTTTGGCGTCCCCTTGACCAGGACGAGTGGGATAGGTCACCTTTATGCTACTAGTAACCTGCAATCAGGCGGTCCTTCTTCCCTTTTTCTTTAGGAGGCAGATTTTTGCGATCCCCCGAAAAAATAAGGAACGCCTAATCACAGGTTCACCTACTAGTGGCTTAGCGACATAAAAGGCAGTTTTGTGTACTTTTGACTACGACCACCAAGCTTGGCACAGACGTTCCTTAGGTCATGCCAGACAGATTTAAAAGGGGAACCAAAAGGGTAAACGGTCCAAGGGTCAGGAGAGGAAAGGCAATTTTAGGGTTAACCGAAAAAGTCTTTACTTCGCTCTACAAAAGCAAAGGAAGCATCCGAAAACAGGTTTTTTATTCTTTAAGTTTACGGTATTTTATGAGAGGGGACGGCGTATGGGAGCCAACCAGGCGGCGAATGTACTTTTTATCTGACTGAATTTTCTACGGCATTAAATAGTCGAATTAAGATATCTCATAACTCGAGAAGAGCTCCCTCTTGAGTTTCGCTAAAACAAAACTGGTGTACAAGGCCTGTGAGGAGCGCGACAAACATTGAAGTGAAAGTTTTGACGCTTCAGTATTTTCTGTTGTCTTTGATTAAAAAAAAAACATGTAGCTGTTTTATATCCTTATTTGGAGAAATTTGCCGTCTTACTTTTGCAAAAGAACTGCAGACACAACATTCTAGAAATGCACTGGTGCTAATCAAACGGCAACAGCCAAACTGATATCCAAAGCCTCTCAGAAGCGTACCGTACGTAGTGACCAGGGACCGACTCTTTCTCTTTCTTCGATTCTCTTCGAATCGAAGCCAGCAGCGGAGACGACTGCATGGACAACTCGACAAAAAGCAGCCGTACAAGCTGTCCTCACCTGAGTTTAACAATCAACGTTCTACTAAGCACTCTTAACCCAATTAAATGCTTGAATAAAGGGACAACACAGACTTCTCCATCAGAATCGTATGATGTCATTTAGAAAGACACGGCCAGCATCTGTGTATGCGCTACCAGTGAAATCCGTGACAACGTTCGATGATTATGCAAGAGTTGCTTTGCGCCACTTAATACTGGCACGCTAAGTAACTCTTCAATAACAGACATCGTATGAGATGGCTACCCGCTAAGCTTGAAAGAAGCTTCTCGTTAGAAGAAGGGGACAAGAGTCAGAAAGGAGATGGCGAGGCACGTGAAGAGGCATCGGAAAAGGCTACTGGAAGTCATTTCTGGGCAATGCATGCAGGGAAGAAGAAAAATTCTTCAGGTCAGTTTTCACTTTTCAGGTGAGCAGATACTCCTTTCCTGCCAACAAGCACGTAGTAACATAATCACAGGTAATTGATGAAATAAGCGCTCTTGATTTTAGGTTAAGTGTGGTCTCATCAAACCGTTTTCTAGCCTGCGAGCAAGCTCTCCTATTTGGGCAAGCGAAGCGAGCCTCGCGAGAACGCGCGAGCGAGGGGCCGAGGAAAGGAAAGCTTGCAACCATCTCTCATAAATTTCCATTTCCACCCCGGAAATACCGGGACTCCGCAAAGCGTGAAAACTGTCACCGCAAACGTGCCGCAGATTAGAAAAGTGACAACCGCCTGTCAAGTAAGTTTAGACAGCCGAGGGCGCGTAGAATTATTTATTTATAAATCGCTTTCGCAACAGCATCAAAGAAATGTTTTTAATCACTTATGTTTTTTTTTACGGGGACATCGAACTTCAACGTGTCAGCTCGGATAAGAACTCACTACTTTGATTCTCGTTTCGTTTACTTTTGAAAAGTTCATTTTCCTTCCGCAGGAACTACAAACTCGGTCCGACTTATCCTCGGCACACAATATTCTCTTTGCGAGAATTACATCAAACGAGCCCGTCTGCATTGAGGGCTGAAACAATTCCTCGGTACCAATCTGATCCCCCTGAGAACCAAATTTGACACACCGACGAAGCGGGTGCCAGCTTGGCCTGTTATTAGTCAACTTTGATTTCCGGAATGTCATTTTTCAGCCAATGGTATTTCCCTTCGTCTGGGCAAAGTACAAATGAAAATTTGTAAGGGATGGTTGCAAGCTCTCCTTTCCTCTGCCCCTCGCGGCTTCGCCGCTCGCTCGCGCGTTCTCGCGAGACTCGTTTAACTCGCCTGAATAGGAGAGCTTGCTCGCAGGCTAACCGTTTTCGAAATGTGCAAGTGTGCCGTGGAGAAGGGCACAGAGAAAGTTCTAAGCATAACCAATAAGGAAACAGTGTGGTGGTCTTTGCTGTGGCGGAGTACAGTAACCTGTGCTGTGACATGTGGATCGAAAAACATTTCTTTTACTTGTAATTCAACACTATCTGCGGAGTCTTGAGGCCTCGAGACACGAACGTACTTTCACCATTTCCTGCTTACTTCGGGTGCGATTTTACATCTTACTTTCTGGAAAGAGGAGTAAATTGACCGCGCTTGGAATGCGTATCAAGAAGTTAAGGTATTGTTCTGGTGGTCAAGCTCACCCCATTAGAAATCAGGGGCACCCAACGACCGAATGTTTTCAAGTATGTCAAAATAATTTTCTCTGTCCTTTCTCTGTCTGTTCGGTTGTCTTAAGTTAATTTTGGTCTTCTCGAAAAATTTTGTCGCTTTTTCGTCTCATCCGAAACTGTGCCTACCCTGATGGGTCCGGTGAAAAGTTCGAGGATATGGAGTAGCCGCACGTTTACTAGAAGATTCCGTGGGACGTTTTGTCTTTACTGTATACTGAAATGTCCAGGAGACCTTTTTTTAACAAAAATAGCAATGTTTTGGAAATAGAATGTGAAAACAAAACCTCCAAAATCGTAGGTAAGTTAGTAGAAAAACTTCGAATATCTCAGACGAATGGAACGGTTGTCCACAAATTTTTAACCTTTTTCGAACTTTTGAAATCTCTGGGGAATATTTGCTTCCTCAAACAGTTATCGAAAAAGTCCTTGGGTGCCCCTGTAGAGAACCGCGTCTTCAACAGTATCTGTCATTGAGTGATTTGTTGTTCGTCTTTATGACAAAAACATGTCTGCCAGCAAGGTCAGCGCTTCAAGAAGAGAGCTCTACACCAACAAGGGGCGACCATTGAAAAGTATTTTACCAGTGCAGGTGTGTTGACGTTGACAAAGAGTGTGAATTCTGTCATGAGCCGGTTTGTACACAGATATTCCTAAAATAATTGGTCAGTTCCGTTTTTACCCTCCCTTAAAATTTCATGAATCTTTTCGAAAACCCCGTTTCACGGGAAGGTAATGGACCAAGAGGGAGTATGGACGACCTTAGAGACCCCCCTTCTGCAGCCATCCAGCCAGCTGGATAAAATAATCACTAGTCCAAATTACTATACATGCAGTATCTACGGACTAAAGTGTGTGCAATGGGTCTATATAACTCAGAGTTTCCATACCCCAAACTTAACATATTGAAACATATACCGCCGCGTTGTTCGCCAACTCAAAGAGAATTGCTGATAAGATTAACTCAGGTGCAATTAATTCATTACCTTGCATTACATATATTGGCACCTTTTGGTAATAAATTACCTGCTTGTAAGGCAATCAAAGATGGCAAGGAACGGTGGTCTTTGTGCAAAGTCGTACGCCCAGCATTGGTGCATCAAAATGTACACCCAGTCAGGACATCCTTCCGGTCGCTCTAACTGTCCCTCGGGTCCCTTGTGTCTCATATGCATCAGAATCTGCAGTGAGGATCAACACAATATTCTAAGTGGTGGCAAACCAAAAGTCAACTCGATTAACGACTTCATGAAAAAATTATGTCAATAACCATCACTACAATTGCAATGAGAGCCACTGGAACTGTCCCTGAAAGGATCAATGTTATTCATTGATGAAGGGTAGACCTTATCCAAAATAATCCACTCCTCGGGACTACCAGGATTCTAAGGAAGGTGTCAGAAATATGAAATAGCAAAGCAGGCACGTGCACTCGACTGACAATTACCTCAAAATTAAAGCTTCGGACAACTTGCTGTCGTGCCTTTGAAAACCCACGGCATTTAAAACCTCCATCAGCCATGAAATTGACAATAACAATGATTAGCAATGATCATGATGACGATGGTATGATGATAATGACGCCAAGTAAGCATACGAGGACATGAATGAAACTACCAACATAGGCATCTAGATATCTGTTTGAGTGCTAAGTAATACAAAATTGTATTATTTTAAATGGTACCTAACCTACCATTTCTAGATTAAAGATTGTATGCGAACATTCGCTACGGTTCTCAAAGTTAAAGAAAATATATGCGGTGCCAACTTTCCTCACTTGGAGCCAATGGCTGAATTGCGGAGGAACCAGAGAGGTGAGATCGGACGTCAGCATGTAAAGGCGCACTCTTGCACCCACTTCATGATCAGTCAATGTTTTTGATCACACCTCGCCAACCCAGACCGATGACGGCACAAGTCAGATAGACCATGACATCGGGGCCTACGTCCCCTGCTCTTTTCGAACAATGTCACGGGTTTTTTTTACGTCCCCTTCCAACTGAAGTACCAGATAAGGGAGACAAGGCCAACGGTTTAACGTCACCTCCCAATGATACGATCATCTGAACTGAGATGTTAGGTATAAGGCATAAACTACTATGGTTTCTCCCGTCGCTTCGACGATGGGTGAGTGCCCAGCAAGAGAGTGCGGCACAATAACCTTAGATCAGTGTTTGATGTGACATCTCATGTACAAATGCAGGCCTAACCAGTATTTGCAGATCTGGAGGCAGACATACACAGATGTTGTTTCCATCATGATCAGTTGGAGATAGGTTGGACCTGGCTGGGCGCTGGGCTTAGGCATCCCTGTACTAGTTGACCGCTTTGCCTACGCTGCCAAATTATTCGGGCTAACAGTCAGCTTAAAGAAGGCTGAGGTCATGCACCCACCACCCATTTCCTATACACCCGAAAAGAGGACCCCGCTGTCATAATAGACAATACCCCTTTAAATGATACGCCAAACTTTTGTTACTCAGGTATTATCCTGTCGTATAAAGTCCAGCTGGACGAAGAGATCACCCAGAGACTGTCCAAGGCAGGCTCAGCTTTTGGCGAAAGATCATGGTATCTTTCTGGCCACAAAGATTTAAGGCTATCAATCAGGAGTTCACACCTCTCTCTTAGATGGCTGCGAGATATGGACATTCTACTGGCCCTATATTAAACAGCTAGACGCATTTCGTCTCCGCTTTCTTTGTTCAATGCGCAACTATGAAAGGCAAAAAATGAGATTCACGCAAGATCTGAGTATAGAGTCTCCTTATCCAAGCCCAACTGAGATGCACTGGCCCATGTAGTGCGCATGGTTGTCACTCGCTTACTCTAAGTCCTCGTTTATGGTCAGCAAAAAAAATTCTGGTGCTAGGACTAAGGTCGCCCACTGCTCCGCTAGGGGGAAACTCTTATGGCCAATTTAAAAGCCCACAAGCTAAACCTGAAGACATGGGATCCGGAAGCACTGAACAGAGCTGAGTGGAGTAATTAATGCCACCAAGCCGTTCTTGACTTTGAAGCAGCCAGGATCACCACCCTAAAAAAACGATGCTACAAGAGCACAAACATCTTCATATAAGAAATATCTCAATAGTTGTTCCCTGTCTTTGGTCCTGGCTTTTGGGCGTAATTGCCATCTGTCCTAAAATGGATTCGCACACCTGATGCTCTCGGATGCTTATAGCGTAGCCGAGAAGTAGAGGGCAAACAGGACCTTCAAGTTCCACTATTAAGAAGGAAAGGGTTCAGAAGCTGAACCTCTTTCCATCATGATCACAGAGGCCATCATACCATCATGGAATGAGATTATTAGTTGGACCATTTAATCTGGACCACCAAACTTATGCAGAACGTTCCAAGGGGCATATCACGATTAACTGTATCAAAGGCTTTGGTCTAATCAACAAAAAACGTATACCGGCACTCAACCAGTCCAGTTGTTTGCACTAGAAAAAGCCAAATACCTCAGATGATTTTTCATGTTAGATGCTTCAGATCTTTCCATGATTCTTCAAGACTCAGCATGTCATTATTGACAGCTATTTCAGGGCCGATATTAGTTCATTACACTTTTGTTTTGCGTTGTTGATAATGTCGAGTTGGTTTGGTGTTATTAGTCGTTTTGAGAGCGAGCCTTAATGACTAGTCTGTGGTCTGACCAGCATTCTGCACGTCTGAGTGCTCTGCTTATTTAAACGTACATTTAGTCTCTCTGTCGTACAAACATGTAGCCTATCAGGTGACAATGTTTGGATTTCAGGTGCACGTATCCAGGAGGTTTTTGTGGTTATTGGCTTGTTAGAAGACTATATTGGTGTTTCCGAGTTTTAATTCTCTGCTTTTTGTCAGTAGGAAGAGGAGGTGGCCATTAGAATTCTCCTTTCAGATACCATGCTTCCCTACAACGCTTTTCTATGAATAGCTAGCTATCTTTGCCAACTCGGGCATTGAAACAGAAGGAGAAGGTTGTCTTCGTGTGACATTCCTCTGATTGTTCCACTGAGGCCATCATAAAGGGCTTCTTTCAGGATTTTTGAGTGTTAGTCATTGGACCATAGGCACATACGATGGCTACTTGCCAGTTCTAGGTTTAGCGACATGAGTCTGTCATTGATCCCTTACGGTAATTGGTTGAGCTTGTAAGCCAGCTGAGATCATAAGGCAAACCAAATTGTTCAGTTTCCTCTTTGGACTCTCCAATCCAAAAATATTACTTCTATCTCGCACCGACCTCCTCTCAGTGAGACTCCTCTGCAAGTGTCCTCTTATTCAGTATGTCAATGTTGTACCTGCTCAGTGCTTTGGCTTTGGTTTCGCGCTCTGGTCTGCTGTCACTGTCTAGTAGTGCCGGTCCTGAGATTCCACAAGCCGAAGATCAGTTTTCTTGTCCCGGCAGCTTGTGTCAAGGTTGACATGTTTTCTTTTCTTGTTGTTGACATGCTTTTTCCCTTGTGAACTGGCAAGTACAACTGGAGCAGGCTTTGTTTAAGGTTCCTTTTCAAATTCCTGTCCCCAAATTAGGTGCGAAGGGTGACTGTTCTTAATGCTCTGGTCACCTAACTCATGAATAACTACTACCTTCTCGCGGTATATTCCCTGGGCTGTGCCCAAAGACAATGGATTAGGGGTTCTGTTCGGGTGCTACCGGAAAGAAGGCAAACATCTGTGAGTAAAGGATCTCAGTGAAAATCGCTCCAGGTGGAGTATGCGCCCCCTGTCGAGTACAGTCAACTCTCTCTAAGACGGACACCTTTGGGACTGGCACTAAGTGTCCGTCTTATAGAGAGTCAAATAAAGGGAGTAACTCTTGAAAGGCAGGGACCAACTCTAAGTGTCCGTTTTACAGAGGTGTCCGTCTTATAGCGGTGTCCTTTAAGAGAGAGTCGACTGTATAAGCTATTGAAAAGCCTGAAAAAAAGGGACTGGAGAGAGCATTGTTGCACCTATAAGGTCTGCTCTGACATGAATTCCACGTTTGTCTTGTGAGAACTGACCATGACACCCCATGGCTGCCTGCGTGCAGGGTTGAGGATGAAGTCTTCAGTAGCATCCGTTGCCGTTTCTCTATGCCCACCAAATTTTTTTGAGATGAGTGACATGGTGTTAGTGCCGGTGTCTTGGTTTACTGAACAGCCACCACAATAATGAATATTATTATTATAGTGTGCATGGTTTATGCAGGGCTATAGTGCCACTAGCTACTCCATCAAACTTGTACTGGTCTGGTGCAACTTGTGCAACGAGCACAGTAGTTAGTGCCAGTATGGAGGATAATATTTGAATGGACTGGTCTCGGAGAGCACTTCATGGTGTTAATGAGGTAGACTGAAGCACCTGAAACCGCCTGAAGCTCTGTGACTGAGTGTGGCGACGAATATCCTTCATTTCATTCTTAAATTAAATCTTAATCTTAAATTTAAATCTTTTTCCTTTTTTAAGTGTTTTAGGGCACAAATTTATTAGCGTATGTCTTTTTAGTGCAACCTCTTAAAATACAACATTTATTTATACTTTGTAAGAAAGGTAACTGTTGTAGATGATATCAGTTTCACCTTATCTTCTTGAAGACGATAATACGGTTGCAGGTCTTCACCAGATATGAATGACACGTAGAGCTCCCAGGCCAGAATGCCAAATGCCCATACATCGCTTGCATGCGTGTAGTATCCATCCAGGTTCACTTCTGGAGCACTCCTGATTAAGATCGAAAGTATGCGCGCTGTTATTGTTAGAGTATCAAATTACACAGTTTTAAAGTCCTGTAGTTTCAACTTTTAGACGGGTAACACCTTCATTCAATTATTGAACAAAATTAAGGACAATAACTGGAATTATCTGCCAAAGCCGAAGGCGGGGACGGATACCTCCAAATTGACTGAATTGAGGCCTTGATAATTCTTGCTATCGTGGGAAAACCGAATTTAGTAATTGGTTTATAATGCATACACTTAAACAAGAGCGGGCTAAATCATGCTATCGAATGCTAAATCAATTTGTAAGAACTTTATATATTTGTAAGCTTAACTTTGCTTGCAACCCTAAAGATGCAGGGCACGAGTCCAAACGTTCCCAGAAAAAATTTACAAAAACTAACTCTAAAATATATATGTTTTAAAGCTTAAAATAAAACTTTTGACAGTTTTTCGCGTGTCTAAAACTATTGCCCGTGAAATGACGCAGATTTTGCTTGCATCAAAGCTATTGTGTGGTTAGCTGCGTGATCAAAACCAAATGCCCCTGTTACGCGGGCTAATTTAAGGCTTAACTTTTCTATTTAGAAGGGACTTATTTCCGAACAGTAACCATTTTAGTAGGACAGATCAGAAAAGGTGAGGGGCATACAAAATATTTTCTTATTTATATTTTAATTTATAAGTATACTGAACTGTCTTGGTACCAAGTAAATCTTCAGCTTCAAAAAATGATTTTTCCACTTGATCTCTATCATCATCTCCCACTTCAGGTAGAATTTCATGAAACAATGAGCGACCGGATTTTTGTGGGACATTTTCTGATGACCGACTCTTTTGTTCTTTTGTGAATTGATAGGCTTGACGAAACGAAATATCCTCAGTCCAGTTCGGTGTTTGTTTTTTAAGTAGGAACTGATCTGGAACAGTGTGTGCACTTAAAACATCTGGCATTTTAGGGAAATAGCCGCTGCATGAAAGATAGTTTAATGCCCGTCTTTGGAATCAGTTTCCGTTGAAGTTCACTCAGCAATTGCAAGGCCTATGAGTCACGCAATCTGACACAATGATTATGGCGAGTTATGGCTAAATTCACTATACTACAACAGACAGGATAAAATATACAGCTATCTCTAAGGCTATCAACCAGATAAACTGATTCACAGGAAAATCGAAGGCTGTTACCTAGTGTAAGAAGGCAAAGTATATTTGGGGTAAGCAGGGTGTAGTTGGGTTTATTAAGGTTGCCAAGGAGGACGTGTATACGGGGTAACGGGGAAGTGTCTCTTGGATAGTAAGGAGAACGTGCACCTGGAGTGACAATGGGTAAGGATGTCTGGGGTGGCAAGTAACCCTTGGGTAATAAGAGGAAATGTGTTTCACACAAGAAGGGAAAGGGTCCCGGTCCTGCATCCTATTAGTTGGGTTCATGTTGCTCACCAGCGAGAAGCGTCAGATGGCATTTCAGCTTTTACACCACAGGACTTACTGGTAACTTCATAAGAGCTCGGGGAAAGGGATTTTGAGCGACCTAGACGGCCAACTTGTACCTGCCAAGAGAGAAAATAAAATGTATTAGGTTCAAAAAATTTAAAGACCTTACGTAAGTTCGTATTCAGTACTTGCTTTGAATGCTGCGGTCGTCTTTTATAACACAGCATCTTCATATTTCTTGTTTTCATATTTTTACTAGGTCCTTAAACGGACTAGTATTTTGAAGGCCACTGGTTTGTCCGTCATGCGACATAAACCCGTGGAAAAGTTGATTGAATGTTCACTGGTCCTAAACTCAGGGAGTATTTGAAATGACTGTTAAGGGTAAGTAGGTTTAATTACCTTGTCTGGAGAGACCACCGTGACATACATAGCTCTGAGATCCCCATGTACAATGTGCTTAGTATGAAGGTAATGTAGCGCGGAAGCCACCTGGGACAGAAACGTCACAATGCTTTCTTGTCGACAATCCCTTTTAACAACGTAATCCTTTAAATTGCCTAAGGTGCTCGCCTTCGAAGTCTGTGAAAAAATATTAAAAATCACTTAACGGGCATTTAGCGAATAAAGCCGCATCTCTCACTCCCCCCTCCCCCAGTCTACCGCTGGGGATGTTTCTAAGTGTTAGAAACCAAAAAGGCGAAAACGTCACCATTGAAATGTAATCGGCGCAAACGTCAGTATTGAAATGTAATCGCGTTTTTGAAGTTAAAACGGATGAATCTTAACACAAACTTTAAGGTTTTCAAATTTTGCTGCGTTTATTCCAACACGCTTAAACTATCAAATGTACTTAGTGTTTTCTCTTGAGTTGAAATTTTGAGGGCTGCATCGAAGTTTAGAGGAAAAGAGAAAAAAAAAATGGTTGTCGTATTTGTACGATCGTTTACTTCGTCCATAAATGGCGTATACGGAAACTTCACTTTCTAGTCGTGTCGGGACGGCAAAGAAATGTACACAAAATTGTGCTGCTATTGTTTTTTTTGACGTTCTCATGAAGGTCGCCGTCGTCGTTGCTAAAGCTCATTAACGTCTCAGCGACGGGGAGTGAAGAGGCAGTTGTATTCGAAGGATATTTCCCAGATTATCAGTGTTTAAGTTTAACGAGAATTCAACAATGAAAATGAGAACGAAAGAAGATAACATTTGCCTTAACTTAAATTTTTCTTTTCACCACCTAAACTACCGTTATTTGTCCGCTACTTGGCATGCGGAAAGATTTTTATTCAAAAAGCTGCTTCTACACAAAAGCCAAAATCTCACTGTGGTTATGTGAACTCCAGCACTATATTGTTTTTGCCGGTTTTTAGATTCTCCATGTGATGTAAAAAAATCCAATTGCATGCTTATTATTATTTATAATTACTTAGGTACGCGTTGTATGTTAAGGTCAGTACAATACTTATGCTGAAGTTATAGAAGAGGGACGGGTTACTTACTATTTCCACCATGGGAGAGTGAGAGTCCCAATGCTTTATTAAGATGTTCGCAAGATTTGGGTTGTTCAGTTTTTTCAGTGATTTAAGATGCTTTATATCCAACTTTGTAATCCTCTCGCATATCCAAATCGAACCCTGGAAAATGGACGTTGATTCAAGTAAATAGTACTATACAGAGGGTAGGGGATAGTCCGTGGTTAGGGTGGATTCTATAGTTGTTTCAAAGCATGCAGCCTTTGTCCTGTAAGCATTCTTTTGTTTTCAAAAGTGCGGAGGCTGGAAATACTCCTACAAGCCCGCATGTTACTGTGCATGGTCTAGTATTACACCAAAAATAAAAGGGTAAAATCACGCGCTTTTGGCCGTTTCTAGGTAGATTTCTCTGCTTAACTTTACCCTTTAGTTAGTGCCTTAACTCATACCTCTGTGAATTTACAAAAACGGCAAAGTTTCGATCACAGACCAAAACAAATCTGTTCAGAACGAAAAAATTCAATCTTGACGGATACTCCGCTCCAACAAGGGAGATTTTCTAGTTTGTAACTCGTTTGTTTTGTTTACGGAAATTCTCTACAAAACAGTTGGGATGCGCTAAAACTGTTTTACACTGGTGTACTTCTCAGTTACCCACGTTCAGTCCTTTCAATCGTATATCGAATTGTTTGTTATCACGAAAGTTAACCGACTTACCTTATCTTCTTTAATAAATGGACAATCGCCCTTCTGCAAGAGATATTCTTCTTTTCCTAAGAAATGAAAAAGAATCTATGTGGAATAAAAAACCAATAAACTATAATAAAACGAAAAAAGGATAATTTGCCACCCATAAAACAAGTGTATATTGGTTTTCAAGCGGACGGAAAAGCAGAAGTACACACTATACCGGGTAGAAAAAACTATCGGAGAAAGGAAGGGAATCAACAACAAAGTGGAAACCTCAGTTTCCCTTAGTTTCAAACAATTCAAACCTAAACTCAGACTGTTTTCAGTGTCAAAAAATATAGAGAGATTTTACCCCTGATTTTCAAATTATCAAGAGGTTCCAAAAATTAGGATTCCATCGTATTGTCACCAAGGCTTTAAGAACAAGGCTTCTTAAAAATGTGAAGTTGTTCTCATCAGGTAAGTCATACTAAATGAAAAAGATGCGTCAGCTGGTTTAAATAGGCTGGTCTTGAATTTGGCTGCCCAGGAAAACGTACCTGGAATAACGCTGTATATCTCTTCATCCTGTTGGTTTTCAAAGCCCTGTGTAGGGGAATAAATAAAATTAGAACAACCACACCGAACTCGTTTCAGTTTCAGCATTCCCGGATTCGTGTTAACAGGGCCTTAATTTTCTGGACAAAAGGTTGGAGACTCACAGAAAAGCACCTGACAAAACTTTCAATTTTTTCATTGTAATACTTTGAAATTTGTTTTAGTTTTATCAAAGCTTTTACTATTCTGATTCTGAGTTGTTGGCGGCTTGAACCCCAGCCTTAGTATCTAACAACCGCGTATCCTCTTTGGACAGCTCCAAAGCTGAGGCCTTACGCGAGCCGTATGACAGTGTCTTCATGGAAGAAGACCTCGGGAATTTATCCAAATGCCCCCCTCGCCTTATGAGTGTATGCCTGATATGATATTCTCGACAGAGGGCGTTAAGAGGCAATTCCTGAAAATTAATATAGATAAAGCAAGTGGACCAGATTTGATTCCAGCTAGAAATTCTCCGTGACGTCGCCTCAGAACTCGCCGTTGTACTCTCTTCCCTTTTCCAACAATTTTACGATTTGGGAACTCTGTCACATTCCTAGAGGCCTGCCAATAATTATGCCATCTTTAAAAAGGGCTCCAAAGCTGATCCTAAAATCTGCAGTCTGGTAGTTCTGCGGGTTTACTCCCTTGTCCCAGTGTATTTGCTCCCTTGTGTTCGTAGTTGTTTTTCTGTTCTTTCAGTTTATGTGTGCTATTCGTTCCTCGCCTTTTCTGCCGTCATGTCATATGGCTTTCTTAATGCGCTTTCATGGAAGCCTGAAAGAGTGTCTAATGCCCTAGTCGGATTACTGACGCTCTGGGTGGGTTTTTCTCGCGTCTTCGAATTCTCTGCGCCTTAGGTTTCCTTTTTACCTTGGACCTTTATCTCCAGTTTATTTGCTTGTTGCCACTCAAGGGTTGGCAGCCTATTCGTGTTTTACCACGCAGTCCTTTTGGTATTCCCTGAAAGACCTCCTTGCCCAGCTCTCAGCAAGTATCAGCAGTCTAGTTGTTTCACTATACTCTGAGTTTATGAGTACTTTTGTTTCACCCCTTTACCTTCAGTGTTGGAGAACTGGGTTTTTCTCTTCTTTGAGTTTTGGGACCCGGTTTTGAGTGTTGGGGAACTGAGTTTTTCTCTTCTTTGAGTTTTGGGACCGGGTTTTGAGTTTTGGCAGTGTGTGGGTTCTTTAGGACGTATCTAACGTTCAACTTCTTGGAGCGGTTCCATTTCTCCGTCTCTTATTCAGAGAGCGTGAAAGGGACTGTCGCGAATAGTATGCTAGCGTCATTGTACTTTTGCTTTGAAATAACCTCTCTCACTATTAAGTGTAAGGACTCAGAAACAATTAATGTGTAGGGAAGCCTAAGGACGGGAGAAAATTAAACTTCTTAGAGATCGCTGGATGAAGGGCTGAGAAAAATTTTTTTTTCCATGGGATATATAGTGGGTGATTTCCCATAAAGTGACCAGGAAAAGTAAACTCCAAGTTGATAAGTATGTTGAATTGGTAACAAATACACAAGACTGAAAACAGACTTACCCAACTCGGTGGCTCAGGCCCTGGTTCTTTTTCATCTGTAAAAATACGTAACACTAATAAGATAACTGGATATGTAGAAGGTTATATATCGTGTTCTAGTTTTCTATGGGTCAATAGTCAACTCGGCGCTACGCGCATCGTTGATTTATTTTGACTTGTGGAAAACAAGAATAATAGAGAAACTTATTAGCTACTAGAAGCAAATTGCGTACCATCTTCAATTCAATTCTATTAGGAGTTTTTTTTATACAACCTGAATTTACGAATGAGTCGTTCGCTTGTTGCGAATAACGGCAACCGGCAAAGTTTGAACTTCCCACTATTTAAAATGTCCATTCCTTACTTTGTCTATTTTGTGACCGTTATATTTTTCTGGGATAACATTAATTCATTTACCTACTTCGTCCTCAGAATCAACTCAGAAATATCGCAAAAAAATTACGTTAAAGAGGTTGCCAATTGTTATGTATAGATAATGAGTTTGCCAGTCAGGTAACAGAATGTTGGTTTCTACTAACAAATCAACGTTAAAAAAACATCATATATCAAGACCTCAAATGCATTTATTTTTTACCCTTCTCAGTTTTTCCATCCGTGCCATCGTTTGTACTTGCTGTGTTATTTGGTGTATTTTATGCGGAGACATTTTCAAAATAATACTTAATTCAGTTTGATTGATAGTTCCTATATGGCTGAATTGCATGACATCTTACAAATCTGTAGCCTTGCCAACTCACTCATCAGCAGCTCAGCTGAGTCTAAAGTTCAAATACGTATAAAGCGGGACTCCCATATTCTGAAAATCAGAATTAAATCCCTAAAGGAGACTAATTCGTGCGTGACTCAAACTTAATTTGATTTCTGAGGGAAACAATACTCTAGCACAGTAGAAACAGTCCTAGGGGACACCTTAATTCGTAAAAATATTAAAAATTTTCGTCTTAAAATCCCCAATCAAAAGTGAGACCAAAATATGCAACTGTTATCGCCAAGCGAGACGACAAGCATCCCTGGCACTCTCATATGGACCCCCCCCCCCCCCCCCCCCCCCCCCTCTTTGAAATATTACCATTTCATTAGTGCAAGTTGTTACTGATTTACTATGTTAATTACTAATAAAGCTCAATATACCTGTCACAAGACTTTGATATGGCTAAGGGTGAGTTTGACATGTTGTACTTATGTGCTTGGGGAAGAGGGGGTGGGGGGGGGCTATGAAATTTTCCTTTGATAAATCAACATCCGTTTGAGGGGGGGTCAGAAAAAAAACCCTAAGGTGATCAGGGGGGGCTTCAAAAAAATGAAAGGAAAAAATAAGGAAATCATCATAGCCCACCCTCTAGATAAATTATGAATGCTCCCTAAATAAAAAGATGCGTCATCTGGTTTAAATAGGCTGGTCTTGAATTTGGCTGCCTAGGAAAACTTACCTGGAATAACGCTGTATATCGCTTCATCCTGTTGGTTTCCAAAGTCCTATGTAGGGAAATAAATAAAATCAGAACAACCACACCGAATTCGTTTCAGTTTCAGCATTCCCGGATTCGTGTTGACAGGGCCTTAATTTTCTGGACAAAAGGCTGGAGACTCACAGAAAAGCACCTAACAAAACGTTCATTCTTTTTCATTGTAATACTATGAAATTTGTTTTATTTTTATCAAAGCTTTTACTAGTCTGATTCTGAGTTGTTGGCGGCTTGAACCCCAGCCTTAGTATCTAACAACCGTGTATCCTCTTCGGACAGCTCCAAAGCTGAGGCCTTACGCGAGCAGTATGACAGTGTGTTCATGGAAGAAGACCTCGGGAATTTATCACAAATGCCCCCCTCGCCTTATGAGTGTATGCCTGATATGATATTCTCGGCAGGGGGCATTAAGAGGCAATTCCTGAAAATTAAGATAGATAAAGCTAGTGGACCAGATTTGATTCCAGCTAGAAATTCTCCGTGACGTCGCCTCAGAACTCTCCGTTGTACTCTCTCCCTTTTCCAAAAATTTTACGAGTCGGTAATTCTGCCACATGCCTGGAAGGCTGCCAATATTTATGCCATCTTTAAAAAGGGCTCCAAAGCTGATCCTAAAAACTACAGTAAGGTGTCTCTAACATCCCTCACACCTAAAGTCGTGGAACATATAGTATCCTGTCACATATCACGACACCTTTCTACAAATCGCATTACCTCTCAGCATTAGCATAGTTTTCGGCGGGGATATGCGATCTCGGTATTTTTTTATAAAATTGGTAGAGGTCAAGTCAACATATCCCTCCACTATGACCTCATCTCCGTGCCTGTGTATGGCCATACGAGGGCCATTCACGAGTCCGATCAGACTCCCGTCCCCTTCAGTTGACGCTTACAAACACTCTTTTTATGTAAGATCAATCCCAGTATGGAACGCGTTGTTAGATGACGTTGTTAGTTCTTCATCGTACCCAGAATTCATCAGAAGAGTGTCCTACTAATTTAATATAAAAATTTAATTTACATTGTTGTCTTTTATTTGTTCTGATACCATGTAATTGAGCGACCGCTGGCCGCTCCATTGCCGGATTAGCATTATTTGTAACGCCAGTGGCAATTACCATGGTTAAAGTTAAAAAGATTGTGTGTTCATCTAATTGAGCGAGGTGAGAAATGAAGTTGAAGGCATAATTCTTTCTAAGACTAACCAACTTTGCATGACATTTTGGCTGGAGCAACAATATTTACCATCCGTCCCGTTTTTCCATGTGAATAAGAGGAAGAAACTGATCAGAATGGCATACAAAAGGACTTTTTGATCATTCGTTAGCCTTACGCCTTCAGAAATTAGATATTAGCGAAGCTTTAAGGCTAACAACTCCAACGCAAGAAAAAATAAAATATGGACTGAGCCTTTGTAAAGAGCTGTCTGGCCTGCATTCAATTGTTCAGAGACGTTTTTCGACTCAAGCTCAATAAGCGAGAACTTTAATTTCCCTTAAGGTGGATCTTTTTGGTAGAGAGTTTGAGGCTGACCTATCGTCATTGTACTTTTGCTTTGAAATAACCTCTCTCAATATTAAGTATAAGGACTCAGAAACAATTAATGCGTAGGAAAGCCTAAGGACGGGAGAAAACTTCTTAGAGATCGCTGGATGAAGGGTTGAGAAAATTTTTTTCCATGGGATGTATAGTGGGTGGGTTCCCATAAAGTAACCAGGTAAAGTAAACTCCTGGTTGATTAGTATGTTGAATTGGTAAAAAATACACAAGACTGAAAACAGACTTACCCAACTGGGTGGCTCAGGCCCTGGTTCGTTTTCATCTGTAAAAACACGTAACACTAATAAGATAACTGGATATGTAGGTTCTAGTTTTCTATGGGTCAATAGTCAACTCGGCGCTACGCGCATAGTTGATTTATTTTGACTCATGGAAAACAAGAATGAATAGAGTAACTTATTAGCTACTAGAATCAAATTGCATACCATCTTCAATTCAATTTTATTAGGAGTTTTTTTTTCTATACAACCTGAATTTACGAATGAGTCGTTTGCTTGTTGCGAATAACGGCAACAAAGTTTGGACTTCCCACCATTAAAAATGTCCATTCATTACATTGTCTATTTTGTGACCGTTATATATTTTCTGGGATAACATTAATTGATTTACCTACTTCGTCCTCAGAATCAACTCAAAAATATCGCAAAAAAATTATGTTAAAGAGGTTGCCACTTGTTATCTATAGATAATGCGTTTGCCAGTCAGATAACAGAATGTTGGTTTCTACTAACAAATCAAAGTTAAAAAAACATTATATATCAAGACCTCAAATGCATTTATTTTTTACCCTTCTCAGTTTTTCCATCCGTGCCATCGTTTGTACTTGCTGTGTTATTTGGTGTATTTTATGCGGAGACATTATTAAAATAATACTTAATTCAGTTTGATTGATAGTTCCTATATGGCTGAATTGCATGACATCTTACAAATCTGTAGCCTTGCCAACTCAATCATCAGCAGCTCAGTCAAATACGTATAAAGCAGGACTGCTATATTCTGAAAATCAGAATTAAATCCCTAAAGGAGACTAATTCGGGCGTGGCTCGAACTTAATTTGATATCTGAGGGAAACAATACTCTAGCACAGTACAAACAGTCCTAGGGGACACCTTAATACGTAATAATATTGAACATTTTCGTCTTGAAATCCCCAATCAAAAGTGAGACCCCCCTCCCCCCCAACTCCCCCTTGAGGGTGCGCGTGCGTGACGTAAATAACAACATAGGCAGATTCGGAAGAATGCCTTCAGTCCTGTGAAGCTCGTGATGGAACCCCCTTGTGTACACCAAGAAACGAGAAATACTTCGAAGAAATAATACATGAGGGACAGAAAGCGAATTATTAAGCAATAATTGGAAATACCTGCATCATTGAGCATATTTTGAAGGCTTTCTTTCAGTTCAATCAGACTCTTTCTTTTGTGAAACTCGCTTTCACAACACTTCTTGATCAACTCAAACTTCTTTTCTTCGATGCATGTTTCATGAGGCACAATTCCTCCATCCTTCACAACCTTGAGATATAGAAAAGCAAAATAAAGAATGTGCATGAGTGTCGAACCTATGACCTAGCAGGCTTACTAGTCCACATGCTCTAACTGTTCTCATGTATTCACCAGGCTCAAACTTCACCATCACATCTCTATCAAAGAATGTGCATCTATAAAAGAGGTATACCAGACAGCTCATACGAGACACTGAGGACGTCGATAAGGAAAAAAGGGCAAGTAAAGGGTACTTCAATAAGGAACAGAAATGGGGTTAGCCTTCTGCACCGGGAGGTCCTTTATGGCCCACTTGTCATTCCCCTCCACTCGATTACCCGGCTTCTACCAAAAGTATTTTAGGCATGACACTCATAACTAGGTGTGAGAAGTTGGATAGATTATTAGCATCACAAATCGCATAATTGCTAAAACATTGACCTACATAAGAGGCCACTTCCTTGTTGTCTGAGATGTGCTTGTATGGAATGCACCCATGGGTGAAAACTTCGTACATAAAAATTCCAAACGCCCAGGTATCGGATGCAGTGGAATATCGATGCTTGGTAATACACTCGGGAGCTTTCCACCGCACGGGAAGCTCCTCGTGCTCGTCGTCTGCGCTTATATAAACTGGGACACCATCATCAGCAGAACAATAGTCATATGTTTCGGCTGAAGTTGCACCTGTAGATAATGCCAATATTGGGTAGTTTCTTGTTAGGGCTGGCTTGTATTTTGGCATAAATGGATGACGAAACATTTTAATTTACATTGTTAGATAAGATTATTTTACATAATAATAGAGAAAAATTCTCCCCCTTTAAGAAAATTTTGCGCCTTTTTTCAATTTTACCGTTAGTCCTAACCGTTTGTATCTAGCTCTTATAAATATAAATATCACCCTTGTTTTTGCCCTACCAGTTGAGAAGTAATAAAAGCCATAATGAGGACAAAAGCTGAGCAGATATGGTGCCTCAACGCAAACTAATTGTAATCTAAGTG